TTTTTTAAGGAAAGGAAAGATGTAGTATTTAAAAATTTTCACTAGTTGTATACACAGTACCTAGATGGCGCCACTGTTCCACCATTGCGCCTGTGTTATCAGGGTGGCGTCCCCGTGGCGCTCAACCCCACGTTGCTGACCGTTAAATAAAAAGTTACGTTTCAACCACCGACCGCGTCGGACGTCTCTCTCTCTCCGTCCGGGGCTCCCGCGCCCGGCCCGCCGGTCACCACTTCGGCATGGGAGACTCCTCGTTTTTCCGCAGGTTCACGCAGGCACTGCTCTTCTTTATTTTCTCGGGTGTCCGCATTTTCTTTTATTACTACACCTTACACAAAAAGTTTGCCTTTGGCTCGCCTTTTGGACTAAGTTTCGTGCACTGCATCATTAGGCTAAACAGACCTGTACACTTTTATAAAAAAGGAAAGAATTTCAGTTACAATTACACAATAATAAATTGAAATTAATTACAGTTACAATTACCTATCCATAAAAGTAATTGACCGTTACCACAGAAAGTAATCCGTTACTTTCCGTGTGTTACTTTCTACCTTACTGTCCTAGGGTAAGACAGAAAGCACAATGGTGTTATAGAAGCGTTTATTGTCGCCACAAGTCACACTTTTTTCACCTTCAGCAATAGGAGTCTCGAAAGCATCGTCGGACGTCTTGCCTCGTTTCTAAGTGAAGATGTCTGCCGCTGCGCTGAACACCCTTTCAATTCAGGCACTAAAAAATACCTAACGCAATGCATTGCATGTTTCTCGAGAGAAATGAAACAGCTCTCTGCCCTAGTGAAAGCGCAAAGCTTTCTTGTAAAACAGGTAATTAAACCTCGAATAAAACCAAGGGTGATAGAAAAAAAAAAAAAAAAATAGCGAGACACGGTAATTACACAAAACAATTAAATCATAGAATAGGCTTTTATATCAACCTTCCATTAGGAACACAAGCCGTTCCTTGCTTGAGACTTTGGTGCATAAGACGACGAGCTATTACGATATATAACTAGCAAAAACATCAGGGGATCCCTCAGAAAACAAAAATACCATGCCGATTAAAACGGATATGTAGACGCACGCATTCCGTGACTACCGTCTCGCGTGTCGCGAATCTTTCAGAGGAGCATCGCCCACCCTTGAGTGAGCATTGTCTGTTGCCGGCTGGGCAATGCTTCTGTTTGCCACAAGCCGCCACGATCCCGAGCCTCGTCATCAGAGTTGGGAACCACAATCTCTACCGTCATCTTGTCAGCTGAAGCCGCGTCACCGCCACGTGACCTTGTCCGAAGGCTACAAAAAGAATCGGCAAGACGGCCACCTTGGGATCTGCTGCCAAGCTTTGCCAGTGCACTAAACGTGCCGCGAATCATTCACAGCTGCGTACACTCCAGTAATTCCTTAGTTCTTGCCGTATCTTTTGCGTTACTTTGGCTGCGAATCTCACCCTAGAGTATAAATGGTTGTTGACGTTGTGGCGTACCGAATACAAGTCGGAAGGCTCTCGCCCTGCTCGAAAAGAAGGACTCACAAGTTGTCACCAGAACAGTTCAACATTTCTGGATTGGTAGCATTTAGTCATTTCAAACTGCTCGCTGTCCTGACTGTACTTTCCCGACTACATTCTTCAGCTGGTGATGTTGAGCTAAACCCATGTATCACTAACGCTGAAAAAATAGATGAGCTGCAAGAATCCATTGATAGCCTGATAGCAAGTAGGAATTAAAACCAGAGGGAAAGCGTATCCAAATTAAACGCAATCAACAAAGGATTGCAGACCTGGGCACTCGTGTGTCCAACCTGGAAGTCAGAGTTGCTGAAATCGGCCAAATAAAGGAGAACCAGGCTAACGTCACCGAAACACTTGGTATTGTGGAACGCGATTCTACAAGTGCGCACGAGCAACTTTCTGGGTTAAGAAACTTTCTGGATGGCGTGAATGGGCAGATGTGCATAAACGATCTTACCTTTGGCGGTTTGCCGGAACGTGAAAACCAAACCTCGAGTGGCACAGAAGATCTGGTATCTAACTTTATCCAAGAAAAACACACCTAATCTTGGCGAAATCGAAAGAGCCCATCGACTGGAGCCAAAGTCTCTAGGTGCTAACCGTATAATAATTGTCCACTTCCTCAGCTTCAAAGCCAAAGATAACGTTCTCCGAAACCCTGCCAAATTAAAAGCAAAAAAAAGTGTCACCGAGGGTATGGGTTTTTTGTTGGTTTTTCGTTGATAGTACGTTTCGAAACAAAACAAAAAGTTGCTGGATTTTGCTGCCCGGTTTAGGGAACATATTAGGCACAAACTTTCGTTCGATAAATTGCATCTTGGTAATAAAACGTATGTGTATTGCTATGCTACCAAAACTGTTGCAACTGTTCAAAGACCACCAGAAGTTGTCCGTGCAGACGACTGACGAAACCGGAATGTACGTCAACGTTCTGTTAATCCGACATTTTCCATTTTTGTTGCAAATTTTCGTTGTTTATTTTCAAAGCAAGATGTATATCTTGCAAACCTCTTGCAAACCTTACGTATAATCATTGGAACTGAAGCTTGGTTGACGTCAAGCTTAGAAAATAAAGAATAAACACTGAACAAATCACGAACTTGTGTTGTAAAGACCGCCCGAATGCAAGGGGCGGTGGTGTACTCATTGCAGTTAAAGCTAATTTATAATGTACGTTAATAACTTAATTATGACACGTTTCTCGAAACGTTGTGGATACGTCCGCAGCTGGGTTTTCGCAAAGTTTTAATCGGCGCACGGTATTGTCCGCCAAACACAAACCCCAGCGAATTTCAAGATGCCATGCAAAGGTGTCTGGGGCACTTAGAGGAAGCTTACCCAAACGACGACATAATATTAGCAGGCGGCTTCAATTTTCCTGGTGTAGGCTCGGCGACGCTTAGTCCCTCATTTCAGTGAGGAGACCAGGGTCACTGCAATGATTTTTTTGTCTTGTATGACGGTCCCGGGCTGCATCAATTAGTAACCATCCCTACCCAAGGCAATACGGTTTTAGACATTTTTTTTGTTAACAACCCTGACCAAGCAAGCACAATGAATGCCCTAGATTTCGTCAGTGTTCATGCAATTATTCACGTTGTAACTACCGTTACCTTCGGAAACCGAGCAAACGATCACAAGGCAATATTTAACTATGCTCGGACAAATATGGAAGCCATGAATAGCTCTCTAAATGTATTTTGGAAGAATTTTGGCCCATTATCAAGATCGCTCCGTCGAAGAAAAGTGGACTTTATTTGAACACAAAATTCAGAATTTGATGTCAACCAACGTTCCTAAAATCAATATAGCATCCCACTATCTTTCACCCTGGTTCACAAATTCCCTCAGACGTACGTTGAAGAAAAAGAAAAGGCTGTTGCAGAAAGCAAAAAGAACTAACAGAGACGATGATTGGCTCGCACGTAGTCTTTGGTCAAAATATAAAACAAAGGGAATTATAAAAGCAAGAAAAGAGTTTTTTTCAGAGACAAACTGCCACTTGTGTTAAGAATCGATCCTCGTAAGGTCTGGAAAATCTTAAATTCTAGTAAAACTCGCCGTGAATGTTTGTTCCAAACCAAGAGGGTGACTGCCTGTCCGATAGCAATGCGGGTCATATGCTCAATAGCTCTTTCTCGACGGCATTCACTCAAGAATCATTCCCGTTTCCTTCGTCACCAGAGTTTCAATTTGCACCCATGTCTCTGATTCCATTCACAATTAACGGTATCGCCAAACTTATTGATAAACTCCCGTCCCACTGCGCCGCCGGCGATGATGCCGTATATTCAAAGGTACTAAAAAGTGTTAAACCACTCCGCCTCTGTTCTTTTAGTTCTGATATTTCAGCCAAGTCTCGATACTGACACTGTTCCAACTGACTGAGGTTTTGCAATCGTCAAACCAATCTTCAAATCTGACATCAAGTCCGACCCATCCAATTATCGGCCTATCTCCTTCACTAGCGCTTCGGAGAAGATAATGGAACAGGTCATTTTTACAACTCAGCTATTATGCCTCATCTCAACGGCAATGACTTCATTTTTTTGAATCAGCACGGTTTGAGGCCAAACGACTCATGTGACACCCAACTTTTGAGTTCATCACGGATTTGCACTTGAACATTCATGCGGGCCCCTTGACTGACGTTACCTTCATCGGCTTTACAAAGGCATTTGATACAGTTCCCCATTGTCGCCTACTTTTACAATTGTCCCATTTTCAAATCAACACATTTATCGCAAATGAATTGCAGCATTTTTGCGTGGTAGAACCCAATCAGTATGGTTTCAACGATACCCACTCCTTAAATCTTCCCGTGACATCAGGCATCCCTCAGTGTGGCGTAATTAGTCCGCTTTTGTTCCTACATTATATCAATGATCTTCCATCCACCTTAACATCAGCAATCAGGTTGTTTGCAGACGATTGTGTTATATACCGAAACATAACTAGTACAGATGATAGTCACGATTTACAAATTGACCTTACAAAATTGGTAATTGGTGCTCGAAATGGCAGCTTAACATTAACATAAAATATGCCGGCTAATGAGAGTTACCAATAAAAATAATATGATATTGACCTAGTACAGCCTCCTTTCTCTCGAAGATGCCAAGTCGTATAAATACCTAGGTGTCCAGCACATTGATCACATCATATTAAATGCATCCAGAAAACTCTGTTTTCTAAGGCGCACGCTGTACAAGGCACCCCAAGAAACATGCCTGCTTTCCTGTAAAACTATAATTCTACCAGAACTAGAATATGCAAATATAATGAGGAAGCCGTACCAAAATTAAATTGTTAAAAATCTTGAAGCCTAGCAAAATAGAGCCGCCCGTTTCATTTCTGGAAAGTACTCTTATCAAACCAGTGCCACGAGTTTAAAGCAAAATCTGGGTCTTTCGTATATGGAGATAACAACAAAACTTTCACGATTTTGTTTTTTCATCAAATTTATTACTCTGACTTGACTCTACTTTCAGACAACCGTTCTCTAGGCCTGCCACCAATATTTCGGCCCGATGGGATAACGCCCCAGAAAGTGAAACCCTTTGCATCACGCACTAATCTATTCCTCTCATCTCCGTAAGTTTTGTGTATCTCAGATTGGAACGCGCTCCCAGACTCTGTGGCAACAGAACGTGATGCGTTGTTGTTTAGGCATAAATGTGACGGTTTATTGTTGAAGTAATTTTCGGGATAATAATTTGTTTTCGGTTTGAATGTGCTTGGCATTGTGTACATGACTTGAGTCAATCAAGAGCCGCCCTGATCTTGTTCTTTCTTGTTTGATCGTTTTTGAATCCAAAGTTTTATATGCATTGTGATTTTGTATGATTTCTTCCCCAAATTCTCGCTCATGTAATATGTCCGAAAGGATGTCTTTGATCAACAGTAAATGAAATGAAATGAAATTAAAATCTTACATTAGGAACACAAGCCGTTCCTTGGTTGAGGCTTTGGTGAATAAGAGGATGAGCGGTTAGGATATATAACTAGCAAAAACATCAAGAGAATTCTCAGAAAAAATATGTCGATTAAAACAGATATGTAGACGCACGCATTCCGTGCCTACCGTTTCTTGGTGCCGTCCAAAACGGATGTAGCACAGGTGGGCCGTAAGACAGCTCAGTGTTCTTCAGCTAAATGTCTGGTGAGGCAAAGGCGGCGTACCCCCGACTCCCTACCCCCCCCCCCCCCCCCCCCCCTTTTCCAGAGACAGCAGTATCTATAATTTTGTTAAATACGAGCTATATAACAGGCTTACCTCATACTTCCGCGTCTGGAAGGTGTAAGCAAGCACATTCCTTCTCTCCCACCGGGGTACCACAATGACTCAAAGTTGCCATATATTACCTACGACGTGTCCTCATATTGTAAAAGAAAAACACATGACGTACGAAAAGGATGACAGGAATTTAGGCAACCTGAGGCTTTTAGAAGATTAGGTGAAAAGCAGCACACATTCAAATAAACACTCGTATCTCCCAGAGATGATAAGTGTTCTAATATCTTTTGAGCAACATGGCAGTTAATGTAACCTCCTTTTCAGTCGATTTCATGTGTCGAAGTTTATTCGGCGGAGAAAAGAACGTCCCTTCTGGTTCTGACATTATGCAAACTGTCGCTGTCACTTTAACTGCGGAAGGCCTTAATTGAGTCGAGCTTATGGAAGACGCGCAGTGAACGTTCGTTCTGTGTCTCCGCGTCTTCAAAAGCAGACAAGGAAAAAACGAACAAACAAACATAAAATGCGCGCACAGATCCTTTACACCAGCTCGCGCGCTCTTTGTCAGCTTTCTTTTTGTCTTGTTTAAAGGGAGCATTTTGATTTCGAGGTCTGCCTAATATGGTTTGCACCGAGAGTCGGGTTCTTAATATCAATGTTCTCCCCTTTTCGCCCTGGGCGAGCTCGCTGACGAGTTCCGATTTACGGACAACCAAGCCACCAAAGGAAGAGAAGAAAAAAGATAAAGATTGAGGTTTTAGGTGACGTGAAGAAAGGTTTCCAGCCTCTGATGAATGCCAGTTGACAGTGTTATTCCTATAAAACTTACCCTTACAAAAAAAAAGAAAAAAAGAAGATTTTGTTTTGTTTTAGGAACGGTTTTTTTGGTTGTTGGTATTTTATATTCCCGTTTTTCTTTTCTCGTGAAAGAAAATAAAAACGTAACAGATTTCAATCATTACCTTACGTAAATAAGTAAGAAAATTACCTTACAATCACTTTATAAAATATGTAACTATTCACTCACAAAATTACTGATAAATGTAAAGGATTACAGCTAATTGCGTTTCTTCTAACGGATTACGTTCAAGTCTTGGCCTAAAACAGTTTTGGTTAAGGCTTTAGTTAGAAATAAGGTACATTTTCAAGCGTTTCATGGGATTTTATGTGACTCGCCACATAATTCTCAAATTACCAGACTTGAGGCGAAGCTACCATGTATGAATGAAAGAACCAGCGGTGAAGCCCAAATTTAACACATGCTCTGCAATTTCGGCCCAAAGTGTCCATATCAATGCCGAACAACCAGAGATGAAGCCTAGTTCTGACACTTGTTTGGCAATTTAGGTCCATAAATCTACCAGCAGCGAAGCCTGACATAGGCACTTGTTTGTTGGATTACGGCCTAAATACCCAGGATCGCCAAAGAAGATGAAGTTTGGCTCTGTCTGGTTTCTTCTGACTTCAAAACCCCAAATAGCGACAAAAACCATATTGCCCAAAGAAATGTGCCACCTGGGGTACAACATTGATACATCTAGTAAGTATTCATGAAACTCATTTCATCCTCTCTCCACGGTTGCCATGGAGAGAGGGTAAGGTGTGTGTTATCTATGATATCAATAATAGACGAAGTTGTTCGAGATTCGTCCACTTCTGCGACGCTTTATTTGCATATTAAGAGGCGACTCTTTCCAACGTTGACGAACGGCGCCATCCTGATAAAAGATTTTTGATAGACATAGAGGGTTGATGGCCGCCAGAAGGATTTCCCTGTGGCGTGCTCTGCAATGTTCCGTAGACTGCATCGGTGGGCGCAGTGAACGAGACAAAGGCGTGTTATCGGCTGCATTCTGCTGAAGCGTGTGTTTTCGCCGACGTGTAGTTTCTTTTTCCGTGGAGCACAGGTGATTCGTACCCATATTAGAGCGTGTGTTTTTGACCACATACGCTTATAGCAGATATCAAGTTTCTACGGTGATGTATATATATATATATATATATATATATATATATATATATATATATATATATATATTTATATTTATTTAAAAATAACTGTCTGATAATATTTTATATTCTTTCTCAACTCAAGTAAAAAAATGCACATTGTCTATACGCTGCGCGAAGTAGTTCCTAAAATATTTCGTTGTCAGAGTAAGAAGCCATGTTTTGGGAGTGTAGAATATGTACGTCTCGATAAGATAACACATATATAATATACAATGCACCTACATTTATCTTAGTTATCCACTTAAATGGGGAAACTACGGAATTTTTATACCACACCTCTTGAAGGAAAACCCAGTATGGCCAGTGTGCGCTGTTTTCGCTTCTTTCAAGTAATTCCTTAGCACTTATACAAGAAACGCTCCTCCGAATTTCGACAAAACGTGTTTCTGGATGTGGTCCACGCAAATTCGTAACTTCCGAGAGCTTGGACTGTGTTATTCGACAGCTGAAGAAGGAAGAGTTTCGCTCGTTATTTGCACGTTTCTCGCTTGGTGATCAGTTCTACGGCATTCGCATCTACTGTGAGAGAGAGTTTCAGGCAACCGCTTTCGGAACACCCGATACAATACGACGGGCCCTCCGGTACGAGCTGCACACGCGCGAGTCTTCTGCGCATGCGCAGTGCGTAACGGAGAGCCCATCCAGAGAGTAGTGGATGTTCAGAACGGTTCTCTAAAACTACGTAATGTCGCAATCGTATCGGCTGCAGGACGATAATAAGGTGCCTGGAACTGGCCACGTCAGGCGTTTCCTAAGCTATCCGTGACCGCAGTGTATCTAGCGGTTCGTTACGCTTGACGCAGCTGAGAGTGCTTGTAATAAGGATAGTCAAAAAGCTGTGGTACCTTCAAAAGACGAGCATTCCTCTCAAAAGGAAACTTTCGGTGCGCACCATAAAGCTGCGGGAAGAAAAAAATATCACGAGAATAATGAGGCGCTTAAGCGGGAGGAATCGAAACAACCTCTCACGTGACGGGCTTGCGGAGAGCCGAGTCGGCAAAGTTTTCCTTCTCGTGAAGGTATTAAGGCGGCCTAGGAAAGAAAGTCGGTCTCCGTGAACAAAAAATGAACGCAAAGAAGAAAACGACAGAAAAAGTTACAGAGCACCTTGTAATTCAGGGCCACTGACTTGTAATCCTTCCCCGAAGGAAGGGCGAGTCGCTCTTTCCATGTAGAGTAACTCCTCCAAGGGCTCCGCAGACATTCTGAGCTGGCCGTGGAGTCACCATGACGTTCCGGGGACTGCAATAATAGTTGTGACCGATCGTTTTACTCAAATGAAGCGGGAACGGCATCGACACCCGTGTTCAACGTGCTCGGAGAGTATTACGAAACGTCCGTCACGTTACCTACGTTGAGCTTCTAAGGCTATGACGTTTATTCTTATCGAAGAAAAACACCTGGCCGGTTGCAAAAGACCCCATTCAAACCAGTTACTGATGCAGATTTTGATATAAGAAAGAGGGGGGAGTTTTTGTTTTTCTTGTTTGAATTGTGTCACTCTAGTACGTGTTTGCTCACCGTCCATATCCGTCCGACGCGGGCACGGCGTAGTCAACGTATCGCACCCTGGATACTTTCGAATTTTGCGGATATTTACTGTCGAGGTGAGTGACCGCAAATGCATTCTACTTTGCTTTTGTCTGGGTAAACAATTACCTCGTATAAAAGGTCAGTATCTGCATTGTTCTATGGGCGCCGCCATTTTTGTTCATGCTGACGACATGATACAGTGAGGGGCTGCGCTTTTTGCAAGACTAGTTTTTTCATGAACCTTCGCAATATTGCAGTGCAAGATGGTCAGAAATGCATCGTCACGAAGCTTCAAAAACAACACTGAAGCCAGAAGAGCTGTAAAAAGCAAGAAAGGGACTGTTTTGTGCGCAGCCCTTTTTTCACAGAGCGTGTGTTTGAGATTATTATTTATCACTTTAATCGCTAGGAGCTAGAAATTCGAACACTGGTCTATATAGGGACAGTGTTTCAGGCTTGTGAGCTTGAATTCAGGAGAAGTCAAAGGGTAATTTCAGTTCGTTTAGTCTATTTTAGGGTAACGACTGTCTTTGGTGAAGGATGCGTCCCTGAAGTACGAGGTGTCATTTGTTTAGATTCCATGCGTAGTTTGGTAGTAGTCATACCTCGAAGTTTTGTTTCGGGGGTCTACAGCCAAACCAAAACTGCCGGCTCGAGCATTATGAAATCATTATGGCGTGCCATTGTTCAACGGAAAGTTCGTAACTCGGCACCGCAAAAGGTACGACTGGCCTAGTCGCAAAAGCAGTTCCGACCAGTCAGGTAAGATGCTACGGCTGTTTTAGTCCTTTGCTTTGTCCGTGTCAAACGGGTACGCCACGCACAGCCAGACGTGGGTGGGCCTTAGCTACTTTTGGCTCAGGATCCGTGGTGTCGCCACTCACCAAACATCTGGCAGCGCAGATTCCTTCTGCGGGGCATGCGCGTGCAGCGTGCGCATTAAGATAGCTTTAGCATGGCCACAATCGCACGTGCGTGCTCACATGAGGAAGAACATGGCGACCGCCAGACGCTCTGTTTGCATTCGTCTTTAGAAGCGCTCATATGTTTTGGAAAATTAAAACTCGCAGTAAAATAAATTTTGTGAAACGCTCTTTGGCTAGGTGTTCGGCATTTTCTGAGGGTCCATATAACCATGAGCAAATTACGCTTTAACGAATATCGCCATTTGAGCGGATAGATGTTTAAGAAAATAAAGGGGCGCGTGTTCATGTTGTAATTGTTGTAATCGGCCTACATGTTGTAATCAGTCGACATGTTGTAATCAGCCGACATGTTGATGTCGTAATCAGCCGACACAGGCTACCGCCGCTTCTCGGCGGCAGCCTGTGTCGGCTGATTGCAAAAGTGTTGCCCCACTGATTACAAAAATGTTAGCCCGTAAACGCCTTTTCGCGGCGTCCAACCGTGCGCTAACGTGTCATTCGATGAATATGTCGGCGTTCGCTAAAACGTCTTTCGACCAACTGAGTGCCACCCTTTCCTGAAGCCCAGATAAAACCGCGGTGGCGAGACTCGAAACTGATTGGTTGACGGGTGGGAATAGAGGACTAAGGTGCTCGACGCTGATTGGTTAACGGGAGGTCATGTGACCAGAAGGATAGGTCAGGAGCAGGGATGGGCAGTATTTCAAATACAAGTATTTGAAATACGTATTTAAGATACTTTGTGTATTTTTCATGTGTATTTAATTACAAATCGGGTAATGTATTTGACGTGTGTATTTAAATATTGAAACGTGGGTATTTCAAATACAATTGTAATTAAATACAATTTTGTGGGCAAAAATACATCCCTCAAATTTATTGTTACTGTCCAGAGCAGGAAGAAAACTACGTTCTGACCCGAATGCAGTGTCTCTCAATCAAGCACAAGCGTTTAGTGACTTTGTGATTACGGTGTTAGTCCAGGGCAAGAATAGTGACGAAATCGACATTCTCAGGCAGACTGCCTAAATAAGTGCCTGTGGCGACTTGAGATGCTTCCCAGCCTGATTTCCATCCATCTTTTTGCCTGGAACATTCTAAATGCGCGGGTCGTCCAGATTTGTGCAACTGGTGCGAGTTGCAACAATAAACAATTCTCTAGCTAGTGCTGCGCGTCTTGGTCGTCTCGGTTCTTTGTTGGTCTATACCAAAATGTAATCGACAAAAAGAAAACTGCTTGAAGCTCTGTACTTTTTTCACCTATTACGTCCAAGCTTATTACATTTTTTTTGTGATTATATTTCTATTGCGTTACCAGAAGCTCGCATACTAACTCCCGAGTGTGCGATGCAAAATTAAAATGAGATACCCAGAAACCCGTTGCAGGTGCCCTGAAGTCGCTGAAGCAAATTTTGAGGAATGTATTTGGAAAAAGTATTTGGAGGAAAGTAGAAATTTGGGCTAGTTGGTTCATGATCAGTAGATACAGCGCCAAAAAACGACAGGACAAAAAGGAGAGTAAACAGGACGAGGCGCACTCGCAACTAAAGTTTATTTAGGAAAAAACACATAATATATAGGATGTTAAAAACGCCTATTCATCCCATCAATCCAGAAGACCTCTTGATAAAATCAAACTCTTTCCCTGAGAGGGCAGGGGAAGGCTCGCTAACACATTCATCTCCCTTTGCTCTAATCTCAAACGCCTCGTGCACTTCTCGGCATATTTTATCTTTATATTTCGCCAGAACCTTCACATCATGCAAAACTGGTGAGCACGGGCAGCGACTACAACGAACAGCTAGATTACCAGACGGGCTTGATCTCATAGCTGCCGCATGTTCCCGTGCACGATCATTGACACATCTGCCAGTCTGGCCGATGTACACGGAGCCGCAAGTCAGCGGAATTTCGTAAACCACTCCGACGGCACACTCATCATATATGGTTTTGTGTTTTGTGCCGCACTGCTCCATGTCTGTCTGGGGATTATTGATCCTACGGCACAAGCGTGCCATCTTTTCCGGAGCTGAAAATACTACGGGTACTCTAAACCACTGTGCAACTTCCTTTAAATTATGGGACATGGCATGCAAGTACGGAATAATTACCGGTCTCGTTTTTGGATTCTCTCTTGCCCGATTAGTTGCCCCTTTGAATTTTCTTAACAATCCTTCCGCAACCTCAGTCAGGCATCCTTGTAAGAAACCTGCCTTCTGCAGGCGTGAAATCTGTAGATTTCACGCCTGCAAACGATTATTGATTATTTGAAGGGAGACGCTAATGGAATGCGTAGTGCTTTTTCTTTGGATGTGGAAGATCTTTTTTTATTCTATCCCGCACGACCATCTCTTTTCGGAGGTTAGAAAATGCATAGAACGGAACGGTGAGGTGTCATTTGCCAATTCGAGTGGCATCAGTGCGGTGAGTTTTTTTTGGAACTGTTGTTGTTTTATCTGTCGCACACGTATGTTTCCTTTCAAAATGATATGTACGTCCAAAAGAAGGGCATTTGTATCGGGTCGTGTGTCGCGCCGGTGCTATCCGATATTTTATTAAGCCAATGTGACAACACCATAGCCGAGAAGCTGGGGCACGAGAACAGCATAAAGATTTATAGGTACGTTGATGATTACCTTGTGTTCAGCGAATTGGCAGAGCGATCGCTGGATGGCGTTGTAACCCAGATGCTCGATGTGTTTTCCTCGTGTTCTGGAGGTCTGAGGTTTACGCACGAGAAGCCGGTAGAAGGGACATTACAGTTCCTTGACCTAAAACTACGCTTTCTGGAGAGCCACATATGTTGGGCGTACGAGCCAAGATCTAAGAAACGCATCCTGCCGTACGAGTCTGCCCATTCAAAATTAGTAAAAAGGGGCATTGCTAGCACGTGTTTGGAGATGGCCCTAAAACGATTTTGTGAACATTCTGTGCAAGACAGCTTTAATCTACAGATTTCACGACTGCAGAAGGCAGGTTTCCCACAAGGATGCCTAACTGAGGTTGCGGAAGGATTGTTTAAAAAAAATGCAAAGGGGCAACTAATCGGGCAAGAGAGAATCCAAAAACGAGACCGGTAATTATTCCGTACTTGCATGCCATGTCCCATAATTTAAAGAAAGTTGCACAGCGGTTTAGAGTACCCGTAGTATTTTCAGCTCCGGAAAAGATGGCACGCTTGTGCCGTAGAATCACTAATCCCCAGACAGACATGGGGCAGTGCGGCACAAAACACAAAACCAAATATGATGAGTGTGCCGTCAGAGTGGTTTACGAAATTCCGCTGACTTGCGGCTCCGTGTACATCGGCCAGACTGGCAGATGTGTCAATGATCGTGCACGGGCACATGCGGCAGCTATGAGAGCAAGCCCGTCTGGTAATCTAGCTGTTCGTTGTAGTCGCTGCCCGTGCTCACCAGTTTTGCATGATGTGAAGGTTCTGGCGAAATATAAAGATAAAATATGCCGAGAAGTGCACGAGGCGTTTGAGATTAGAGCAAAGGGAGATGAATGCGTTAGCGAGCCTTCCGTTGCCCTCTCAGGGAAAGAGTTTGATTTTATCAAGAGGTCTTCTAGATTGATGGAATAAATAGGCGTTTCTAACGGCCTATATATTATGTGTTTTTTCCTAAATAAACTTTAGTTGCGAATGCGCCTCGTCCTGTTTACTCTCCTCTTTGTCCTGTCGTTTTTTGGCGCTGTATCTACTGATATTTGGAGGAGACCAAATACATTTGGTTGTATTTGTATCTTGTACTTAAAGGGACACTGACAGGGTATTTATGCTCGCCGAGGTTTTTAGTTGTACGTGTCATATGAGAGCTCAACTACCCAGAACAAAATTTGCGGCTCGAAATTCGGTTTCTTTCCGCCCGAAAACCGCCGATCAAGAACTAGCCGGTTCGAGTCTCGCTCACTCTCTTTTTCGAGGTCACGGGCCGTTTTCTAAGGTATCGATGCGACCACCAAATTTAATCAAAGTCGTGGGTCACTGAAGGCACACACTCAATATTAAAAATAGAAAAAAATATGAAACCAATTTTTTGTGGCTTCTAAAAAGCTGTAAATACGTTGATTGAAAAAAAAAGTTCCACAGACAACCGGAAGCATTCTGTGCGTTCGTCGTTTCGCGTATCGTGGGACTCGCGGGGACGGCGATGGCAGCGGACGACGGGCGTGGGGCCTCTATTTCAGAACTGTCGCTCGCGGTACCGGCGAATTCTGTTTACCTTTAAAAGAGAAATTTGGGACTGATCAAAAGAATTGGTATTCATCCCGTACGACACGCCCGGCCACCAAGCCGATTTACACGAAGACGTCGCCGAGCCGTCGCTCCCTTCTCGTGGCTGAAGACATCGCTTGCGCAAACGTCAAGCACGACGTGTCTACTTCGAGTTGAATATGCACGCGTACGATTTCTTTACTAGGTGCGAATGTCCCCAGAGCGTGGTGCTTCCCAACTTCGACTCGGGAGTGCATTTGCTAGAGAAAAATCGACAACAAACTTTCCAACTTACAGTTTACCGGCTTAATTATTACAAAGGAAAGAGATCCACCAGAAAAGACATCCCACCAGTAGCGCAGTTGGAAAGACGTCCGGTTCGCACGCGGTAGTACCGGGTTCGATCCCGCGTGAAACTTTTTTTTTTTTTTTTTTTAATGTTTACGTATCTTTTTTTTTTTTACAATCATCACTGAAGAAACATACAAAAAATAACAAACAAATGTTGCGGACGATACTTCGCTGAATTAAATGGTATGTGATTTCCTTTTTGACACCTGCGAACTCAATGTAATCACTTTCCACAAAATGCAAGGAGCATATAAATCAGGTAGCGTCCGCTTTCCGAGGTGCCCGTATATGTTCTACAGGAATTGCAGCCAGCCAATGGTCCCGATCCCGTTGATCTTTCGGAAACTCTGTCGCACAATGCCACTTTTTTTCGGACGCAGGACATGTGAGCCAGCTCTTCACGCAACATCTTGGGTGTATTCTTTTCGGAGCCGATCATGGAAATTCACCACGGGCACTCGCTACTCATCTCCGACTCCTCAATGTACAAAACAACTCATCTTGGAGTACAGAACAACGAGCGTAACAAACATAACTGCAAAAGAATCGCGCGGCGAGCAGTTCCCGCACGCCGCATCGCACGCCGCATGTCGCGTCGTCTGCTACGGAGAGAAGAAAAAACAAAAAAAAAAAAAAAAAAAAACGCACGGTCGGGTGTAGACACGTGACTTCCGCCACTCACACTCTTCTCTCCACTTCTCCAACCTCCGTCGGGTTTCGGTTTCGGTTTCGAGCAGTTGCGTCTTTCGGTTTTATTAAAAAAATACGCTACTCTGTTGCAAAATATTAATTGGGTAGTCCTCCGACACCATAATGAAGCCCCTGGCAAAAAATGAAAAAATTTTTTTGGGGGGTGTCAGTGTCCCTTTAAGTGCTTTTTTGGAAATGTAATTAGATTTGTAATTAAATACATTTTTGACGAAGTATTTTGTATTTGTATTTCGATACATATTTGCTTGTATTTTGCCCATCCCTGGTCAGGAGAAGTGAGGTGGGTGAGGAGGAGCTCAACCACCTGTGCACAATGAGGGAGAGGACCCTGGGCATATGGAAGTCTCTGACAGATAGCTAGGTTTATTAGCTAATTAGCGGTACTATCGAGTCATTCTAGGAATAATTGCATAGCAATTTGCCTTAAATTATTTTCAAAACATGTTTAAAAATCACGTTTGCTGGATTTCAGCAATGATTTTAGAACTTTGCAAAGACTCACAAACGAAGCCGACACACATAGCTCATATAATGTTCACGCTTAGTTTACAAACCCCCAAGAAGTATTTAAAGTTCGTAGGGAAGGACTAACGTCAAAACGTCACCTTCCAAATCGACGTTCGAAGGCCATGCACAGTGTAACATTCGGTCAGAGCTATAATCTCAAGCTCTCCACGCAAGGTATTGTAATTCTCAACTACATAGGAAGCATCTTTGTGCCAAGATGAACCGTGAGTCCGATTAGAGATTAAGCTGGACTAATGCGCTCCGTGATAGGGTATCAGTGTAGGAGTCCCCTTGAGTTGCCCTTAAATTGAGTCTCCCTTAGGTCGGTACCGAAAACGCCTTGTGCACTTGGGGTGTTCATCATAAATACTGATACCGGAAAGAAACAGACATGCTGCCCATCGTTGCCTTGTTTGCCGTCCTGATCATTCTGGGAATCAGACTCTTAAGGTGAGTTGTTGCTTCTAGAGAAGTACCGCGTATCCCTGAAAATATATTACATATTTTGTTTTTCACCGCCCAATGGAGACTACACATAGCAAACTTCTCAGTCCCTGCTCAAATAAAGCAGTTGGTGGTCCGGACCAGAAGCCAAAGCTTCCGAGCGAACCGTTACTTTGGTGAAGCTTTACAAACAAAATTTTGTTTAACTTTTTTGGGAAGATAGGGCGTGATTCCGGCAGCTGTCGGCATTCAGCTTGATTCATTTGTGGGCATTGTCGGCCACCATTTTTCCATCAAAAAAGTCGAAATATAACCTCTAAATATTGAATGAGATAACATGCTAGTTTGAAACTTTGGGTAATCTGATCCGTACTGGTAGCGCTACATGTAGGAGGCGAGTGAGCGTTTGGCGATGTGTAGGTTTTTGCTTTGCGGTGAAAAAAACTATATTTTTTCAGGCGTTTGTTGTGTCTGTACCATCAAAGGCAACACTCATGGGTTGAATTACTGAAATGCATCTTTAGATCGGCAGGCTTGTAATTGTTCTCTGAAATGTAACAAAAGTGATAGTCATCGTTCGCAGTAGTATAGCGAGGATAGACGTGCAACACCCGGTGTCAAAAATTATTTCAACTTGCATTAAAATACAAGTAGAATGTTCAAAAGTTTGGTTCACTTGCATCTAAAAGTATATTCTGAACTATAAAAGTAACCTAGAAACTAAACTAATTTCCTTAACATTTGTAAAGATTGTACTAAAATAGGAGAGTTGTAATTATACTAAAGTGATACGCTTAATAGTTTTCAAAGTCGGTATAGATCCCAAAATATAACTGTGCCTTATTGGAAACCCGTTCAGAAAATAATATTATAATGTTTGAAGTGCATATTCATTAGCTTAATTAAGTAGTACAACCAAACCGAAGACTATACGCGTAAGGTGGTCGTATTTCCTAGAGTAAATTAACGTTTTATTTTGTGATTGTAAAAGTGCGCGGAAGTTCAAAAGAATACTTGCAAGGCTTCGAAAACCATATATTAGACAATACCGTATTTACTCGAGTACTAATAGCCGCACTGTTTATGAAGACAACCCGAGAGCACGCGGATTGCCAATCACCGCTATCGACAGCATGATTCCAGCTGGACAGAGATAACGTCTTCGAGCAAAGATACCATATGCGAAGTTTTCATTTGTATGAAGTTTCGTGTTCTTGATCTAGTTATTCGCTATGTTATTTATGCGGAACGAGATGATTGGCTGTATATGTGCTTTGCGGGAAATTAGACACGGGGGCTTGTTCATAAATAGTGCGGCTATTATTCGAGTAAATACGGTATTGTAAAGAGAGAAAACAGCTTTATACAGGTGCCTACCCAAACATGAACAAAACACTAGGAATAGCTTTTTTGCGGAAGATATATGCCATGATGCTGTTTCTGGTGATGACTATGATAATACTTCTACCTCGTAGGCTTGGTGTATCTACAACTTACAAGGAATTTATTTTAAAGCAATCTTTTCAGCGAATAGTTACGTACTAATTGAAAAAAACTATTTTAAGAGATTCAACTCTATTAAGCGCTCAAAAATAGTGCTGAGGCGGATAGTCTAATCCACTCTGCTACGGCAATAGAAGTGATGCCGTCGTGGTAAAGCTTTAAAAAATGCGCGAAACCTTTTATGCGAACACAGCAGTGCTTTTTTTAATTTTGTGTAGGAATGGTACTTTTTAAAATCAATTGGCATCTTCTAAATTGCAATATTGCCAGCAGTCTCTTGGTTATCAGAAAAAGACGACAAAGACATGTGGTTGATTTTTCGTGCTTGCCCTGTTGCGCTTCGTCGGTATTTCTGTTAAAAGGTAAATTGTTTGGCAGACTGATACCATTGATTAATCAGAAATCTTTTAATCAAAATTAGTGAAGAGTTAATAATGGCTTACGGATTGTTTAACAAGGCTGGAAGAATCACTTGACAATATGTCACTTCAGGAAAATGTATAAATTGCTTGGCATGTGCAAACGCAACAAGATTAATACGAGATCTATCAATAATTCTCGGAAAAACGAGCGAACGTTTCACTAGTACAAATCAGTTTTTTTTTTATCAGTCTTAATCCAAATATTCGTCGGGGGTCAGGGACATATTTCAGCACTCGTCGGTCGATAAGGCAAACTGCAAAAGGGCAACTTTTTTCACTGATAAAATTCAATATTGTCGTTGGTTTTAGCGATGATAATGTAGGAAGCAATACTCTCCGTTGGCAGCATTTCAAAGACGCTTGTGAATAGAGGGCGCACCTTCTTTTTCGTCCAATATTTATTGCCAATTTTTTGCAGCAGCCTTTTTTTGCATGCTGCGGTTGCTTTCGTAACTTTTGTTAAAGATATTCGCCGCTGCGGGCAAAAAGGGTGGCGCTGCAGTCGAGTGGTGACGATGTTGGAGTAACGAAGAAAATAAAGAATATTGATGCGTGGCTGAACTTCGTATTAATCTAAATTTGTTTAGCAATGATTCAAAAGTATCGAATTATACAATACAAACGAGGTTCACCTAGGCAGCTTTCTGCAGTGAATTGTAATGTAGGAGAACCATTTTGTAAAAATAACCACCGTGTCAATATTTATGTAGCCTTGTCTAACATAAATTTCAGTCGATATTTCAGCGAAGCAATACGGCTCTCCTTAGATGTTTTTGAAGTCTTGTGAGATAAAGATCCATGACAAGTTTCTGGTATGTTTCATTGATTAGGCAGTTTATTTAGAGGCCTTTATGTAATATTTTCAGTTTATAAAAGGTAATAATAAAAATTTTTGCAGGCGCTGCTTATTCAAAATTTTATAGACGAGTTGGCCATGATTTCATTGTAAAATCAATTAACTATAAAAGAAGTACGATTCGCACAAAGCTACTAGTTGAGAACGTTAGGGCGCAAGTGAGCTGGTGTATATAAATAATTTTTGTATCGCAAAACTCTAAAATATATAAAACTATTTCTGCACTATCGAAGAACCTAATCGGCCTTTTAAAGTGTCCAGAAACGCTCATATGCTGAAATAATGATGTGTGCTTTTTCAGGGAAAACTTGACCTCTCTTTTAAGAAACACTCACCAAAACATTTTTGGCGCCCTTGAATGAGCCTTGTATCAAAGTAAAACTAATACAAATCAAATAATGATATCTGTGATTGTAAACTCTCTCTCGAGTGTTCTCAAACGCGCGCTGAGAAGTAATCATCAATAAACGCTCTCATTTTGAATGTTTGCGCAACTCCAGATTCGAAAATAATAAAATTAAGATCACCGTGTTCGTTCCACAGATGGAGACAGAAGACCTTTTCTTACTTCAAAGACATCGGAATTCCTGGGCCCAAACCAAACCTGCTTTGGGGAAACCTGAAGGAATACCATGAAAAGGTGAACGTAGTCGTTTATCCTAAGCTCTGAGCTATTGATAATCGTGAACGCTTCGAAAAGAAACGTGTTATAATTTAAGCCTCCAAAGTGGAGAAAAACAGGCAAAGTCCACACCTGTTGACTACCATTCTATTACCTCAGGAACAACTTATACCTGTTGCTGAGTCGCATGCATCCTTGCCCCTACCTTCGGTAATTTGAACATACTTATACGCCAAGATATGGCCTCGCGCTCAATTAACGTTGAGGCTTTCAATTTTTATTTTTATTATTTTGTATCAATGCGTTTGTTTGACATGACAGAAAATGTAGTGCTTAGAACGATTATTTGCTTTTTTGAAAATGTCCTTGCCCAAATATTAATATCTCCACTTTTTCTATATTTCAATGATATCTTGTGTGTTGTATTAGCCTGTAGTAATATTTATTTATATTAAAGACGTGTAAAAATAATACATTGTATATTTGATTGACTAGTTCCTGATTTTATAATTTTAGACCTGCATGAATGTTTGCAAGCACACTGCCGCGCGCACAGCTGGCCAAGTAGGCAGCGTGCGCGTGACCTAACGGGTATTATGCCTGCCTATCACGCGAAAAGCCAGGTTTCGATTCCCGGCAGTGAAGCGTCTTTTTTCTTTTTTTTGGAATTTGGTTTTCTGGTAAATTTGAGAATCCTCTTGCTTGTTCACGGCCCGAATGTTCTACGCGCCGAACGTTCTAGTCCGAATGTTCCGGAAACCCAGGCTACAAAAGGACGCTCCGCCTGGCAAGCCGAAGTCAGTCTCGCCCCAGCGCTCGATCCTGCGGTTTCTCCGACATCGACGCCCGCGACGCACTGCTGTTTTCTTCTGCTCCCTTTTAGGGGCGAAGCTCCTTAGGGTCTAACCTTGTCCGTCCGTCCGTCCGTCCGTCCGGCGTCCGTGCTCACATAAAACGAAAAACTGTTTCCGCAGTCGACAGGATTCGAACCTGTGCGGGGAGACCCCAATGGATTTCTAGTCCATCGCCATAACCACTCGGCCACGACTGGGGGACGAGTAGGGGGTTCTGACATGTGGTAGTAACTCAAGAGCTGGGATGTCATAGATGAAACGTTGCATGTAGCCACTCAACGTCTATACAGGAGAGGGCGCTGCGGTCAAATGCGTATATAATCGTGTTAAACTTTGCATGCATTGGCTCAACGTCTATAGACGCGTGGGCACTGCGGTCAAATGCTCAAATGCGTATATAACCACGTTCCATACCACGCATTCTCTTTCTACCATGGACCACTGACTTAAGTGGTGGAGATGCGTTCCCACGGCTTCTAGCGGATCCAAGCTGATCCACTAGAAGAACCACTGGCTCTGCATTTGACCGACCATAAAGCAGTAATAATGAAGTCGAAACGCAACCCGGAACTCAGAACTACCTATGAGAAATAAAAAAAAAAATCAGCCCCATCAGCAGTACCAATGTACAATAAAATCAGTATCATCAGCACCACCAGAGCTTCGCCCCAATCAACATCATTCGGCACGCGGTGATGCGGCCTTTTTTTTTTTGATGTTGTGGGCACAAGCTCGCCACATTAAATGTTTAGTTTCTTCAGTTGTCATAGCCTCATCAATTGTCATTCGTGACAATATATTTAAATAATTGTCTCACATCGTAGTATAGAACTAGAAAGGAACGTCCGCTTTATTGCTGAGTGGAGTTAAGTAATTTTACATGTTCCCGAAAACGTTTGTTTACCAGTATGTTTCAACGATGTATCAAGTTAAAAGTTGAAGGCCCGATAGCTCGAAAAATTTGTAAGCTGTGGATTGCATTGAAATTTGACTCACCAGGAAAGTTGCAACCTGTCTTTAATAAAATATTAAGATTTCATTTTGAAATAAGTAAGACATTTATAGTTGTTAAGAGTTAATTTACCAGATATTATTTGAACATGAACATAGCCAAGCAAACTGTCATCACGAATGATGCTACATAATTTTTGTCGGAATTAGTTATACCTCCTAACAATATTTAGTCAATAATTAATTAATCTACTTCAAAAGGAGTGAATTGTTTGCGTTTCAAAGCATTAACTTAGAAAAAATCCAACTTGCAAACTATGCAAAAGGTTGCATAGAACGATGTATGCAGCCCTTGGTGACTTTTTCGGCATATTTATTCCCAACAGGAGTTAGTCCAGGCTGTGAAAAAATGGTGCAAGCAATATGGTGACATATTTGGGTAAGACTACCACAATTGTCAACTTTAAAAAAAGTGCGGAGGAAATACGATCTCAAAACATTTACCTTCAATTCAAACTTTTATGTAGTACTAAATTTTTAACACATCTATTTTAGTCTAGGTTGTGGCAATTCGTTGCATACCGTTTCCTTTCTTAGCGCAAGGCAATTTCTGACATGAAGCATTCACAGGTTTGGAAGTGAGTCTTCCGGACATGATTATGAACTTTCATTTCAACTTACCTGAAAGTGTACGATCACCCGCTGTAATAATTGATAAACTAAGCCGATATAGGTTTCATCTTATACATTAAGACTGTTTTTAAACAAATTGCTTAAAGTGCAATGACATTTTATGACAGCATGTCTATGAACCATTGGGGGAATCGATGCGTGCAATGCTTTTTATGTGTATCATAATTAGTATTCGGTGTTTTCTGTGAATATGGATAAACCTCGAAAATTGAACCCTGAGCCGGTTTTATAAAAATAGGAAAAAACCAAAAAACCTTGATTTGAGTTCTTATCGAATAAGAAAATCTGAAGCTTCACGAGAAGACAATTTTCATCTGGATGTTTTTGCGCTGATTTAGAAAGCCTCCCCACATGAAGTGCATGCGAGGCTGCTTCTTTCTTCGGAATCACAATCTTTATCTCGTTTCTATCTTTTATCGGTACGGGGCGTTTCTCAAGTATATATGTCGCGCTTTATGTTCCCTGCAAGTCGGAAAATCCCACACCTGTGCCCTATTGTTTTCAAGAGAAGCCTCGATAAATCCTATTGTTCTCCGACCTCGATCATTGATACAGAGAAACACCGAATCAGCGAGGATTCTAAGAAACTTCTGAAAGAATGAACTCTCAAAACGGGAAACAGTAATCATGAGCGGGCATCTAGATGTTCATGATTACACAAAATAAACAGATGATGATGCTTAGGAAGAAGGACAAATATTGTCTCAAATTAGGACCATTGCCAAGCTACACTCAAGCGTACCTTTTTCGATTCTTTGTCAATGTTCTTACAGCTTCTACAATGGAGATGTTCCAATGCTCGTGGTGCGTGACCTTGAATTTTTGAAGTACGTCTTTGTCAAAAACTTCTCCAACTTCACTGACCGTGGCGTAAGTGTCATTTTCGGCAGTAACTCAAATACCTATTTATATCCACTTCATTTTTTTTCTGAGAGTGTATGTTTATGGCGAAATTATTTATTAATATTTTTTATGGCAGTCTGTAAATTTTCGCGCGTTTGTAAATCCCGATAAATCTTCAATGAAGTGCTAAAAAAAAGACTCGCATGTAAAAAGCACTGTCGCTCATAAGAATCGCTTGGCTACAAAAAACAAACAAACAAACATATTGGTTAAGTTCAAGGAAAGCGAGTGCAAAAGGCCACCCCATATATCAGCTCAGAAGATTATCTCCAACACTATAGCAGTTGCGAAGCATTTGCAACTGAAATAATTTCGACGAAATCAAGTATGTTTTTTGTTTCGCGCAGGATATTTAGAGTTTTACTTCGTTAAATTAACTTATATTAGGTTGATTTTATTGATTGCGAGGTCGCGAGGACGACGGTCTTAGCACTACAAGTCTGTTAATTTGTTTTCCTTTTCCGTATAACGAAATTGGTATCAGAAGTATTGTTTGCAGTCTGAGATTGACTGGGAATATACAAATTGCATAGATAGCAGTAAATCTAATTACGAACTTTCACATTTACCCAGCTATTCCGAGACACGAACTCAACTTAAAAGCTTTTCTCCGCACGATGGTGCAAAGGTTGTTTCTTAGGCCACGGCATTCATGTTTCCTGGCTTTGCAATGCAGGTCAATATAATCTGTCCTAAGTTAGCGACGTAATAAATTTAAAATCGAGATCAGTTTACATCAACTTAGCAATTGAATGAACGTTTCAGGTTCAAAAGGAAACGAAAGCCATATCTGATTTTACTCTAAAATGGGCAGTGGTAAAAAAAAAAAAAAATACAGGCTGCCAGATTAAATTGGGAGTTACTTTGAAACCGCGTGGTGCATTTGCCACCGATGTCCGTGCGAGTGCACGCTCTTTAGGTCACTAAAATCGGCAGGTAAGAGCATTATGCCACGTGGTTGTCCTTTGGTCCGCGATTGAAGCTGGCAGCTCCGGGTCCCTTGACGTTTTACGAGCAAGCATGGTGTTTACGAACAAGTCGGCGTTTGCTCACGCCAGATTTGGCCACTGCGCAAGCACGTAAACAAGATTCGCGGGATGTGAAGTTTCTGCACAAGCACCCGTGTGGCGAACCACGCCACCGTAGGGGCCTGATGTCAGAGCCGCGAGGCGGTGTTTCGTTCGTTGCAAGAGGAGCTATAATTTCCTGCAAACTAAGTTAATGACGTTTAGGCTATATTTTGTCCAGAGTGTGGTCTGTAATGTCGAACAGCTTAAGCAGTCGAAAGGTGCCACGTTCACGTCTAATTATATTTAACCTGGTGGACAAAAGGAGATTTAGAGTACTGCTACTGAACTGCCTTCTCTAATGATTTTGTCAATAACCCGAAGAACAATACAGACATCACAAAATGCAAATAAGCAAAGTAGGCATCCCTTTTTAATATAATGCAATTAAATGCAAAGGTGCAAGCGAGCTGGAGAATGACGAAAATATTTCCCGGATAAGGGGAACAAGAGGGACAAAAGACAAACACAAATCCAAATCTGTGTTTAAAAATTTGTGTTTGTCCTTTGACCCTTCTTGTTCCCCTTCCAAAGATTATTTTCGTCCTTCTTGTCCCCCTCGCTTGCACCTTTGCATTAAATTGCATTATAATCATAACCTTAAAATGCAAGCTTTCATCCTTGTTGGTGTTAGGCTTGTGGCAGCTGATAAAACCTGTTTGCTCTGCTTTCGTCTAACCCCTGGCTACCTCAGTCGGTAGAGAGCTCCAATTGAAGTGGAGAGGTCCCGTGTTCCCCGGACCAGGCGGATTTCTTCGGTCCTACACCAGTCATTTAGCTGTGTTTGGAGATTTCCGTTTGTCCTTTGTCCCTTTTGTTCCCCTTCTCCAGGGATTATTTTCGTCATTCGTCGTAGGCATTCCTCTTCAGCTTTTAGCTGTCATCTGATTAGTGATTACTCTCAGCGTAGAGCGTCTTCTGGATTGAAGTATAAATGGGCCCTCTAGATTCTCTTCCGCGACGCAACCAAATAGTGTATAAACAAAGAAGGTCCACTTAAATTTATTTGGTTATTTAGAATACCAAAAAAAAAAAAGAAAAACCTGCCGCTTTGAGGAAACATATGGAGGAGAGGGCAAAATGCCGAAAAATAAATCGTGTTGCATTTAGGCTAGGTCAGGGATGGGCAAAATACATGAAAATATGTATCGAAATACAAATACAAAATACTTCGTCAAAAATGTATTTAATTAAATCTAATTACATTTCCAAAAAAGCATTTAAGTACGAGATACAAATACAACCAAATGTATTTGGTCTCCTCCAAATACATTTTGAGGAATGTATTTAGCCAAATACATTCCTCAAAATTTGCGTCAGCGACTTCAGGACACCTGCAACGGGTTTCTGGGTGTCTCCTTTTAATTTTGCATTGCACACTCGGGAGTTAGTGTGCGAGGCTGTATTAACGTAATAAAATATAATCACAAAAAATGTAATAAGCTTGGACGTAATAGGTGAAAAAAGTACAGAGCTTCAAGCAGCTTTTTTGTCGATTACATTTTGGTATAGACCAACAAAGAACCGAGACGACCAAGACACGCAGCACTAGCTAGAGATTCTTTTATTGTTGCAACTCGCACCAGTTACGAAAATCTGGACGACCCGCGCATTTAGAATGTTCCAGGCAAAAATATGGATGGAAATGAGGCTGGAAAGCATCACAAGTTGTCACAGGCACTTATTTAGCCAGTCTGCCTGTGAACGTCGATCTCGTCACTATTCTTGCCCTGGACTAGCACCGTAATCACAAAGTCACTAAACGCTTGTGCTTGATTGAGAAACACTGCATTCAGTGCAGAACGTAGTTTTCTTCCTGCTCTGGACAGTGGCAATAAATTTGAGGGATGTATTTTCGCCCACAAAATTGTATTTAATTGCAATTGTATTTGAAATACCCACGTTTTAGTATTTAAATACACACATCAAATACATTACCCAATTTGTAATGAAATACAAATGCAAAATACACAAAGTATTTGAAATATGTATTTGAAATACTTGTATTTGAAATACTGCCCATCCCTGGGCTAGGTGTTCCAGGTGTCTTCACTTCGGCCCCAAAAGGCAAAACTAATTCCATTTTTCACGCAGGTAACCATGAGAACCGACGAGATGCACCCAGTTGTTGGCCGAGGTTTGATCCACGTGAAGGGCTCCGAGTGGAAGAACATGCGTTCCTGCGTCACATCGGCTTTCACCTCGCTCAAGCTCAAGCAGGTAAGAGTTGGATCGATCGACTCGATCGAGGCGTGTTTCTATCAAGTTTGGCGCAGCGGCCCTAGCGAGCGCCCCAAAATAGGTTTAGGCTGCGTTTCAATTCCGAGTCATCACAGCCAGGGCCGTACCCAGAAAAAAATTTCGGGGGGGGGGTTTTCGGGGACAACGGCGGCCATTTTGAAAGTGTCTATTGTCTTATTTTCGCCTATGAATCATGTGCATCGGTGGCATATAATGGAGAGTTACAGCAAACCGGAGAACCGGTCCCGGTTTGGTACCCGGTAGCCGACTGGCGCCACTGCGCGTGCGCAGAGGTGGAGATTAAAATCGGCTGGCTGCCAGCGCACCGACCAGGGCCGTACCCAGAAAAAAATTTCGGGGGGGGGTCAGAACCCCCTATCCCCCCCCCTGGTTACGGCCCTGATCACAGCCATTCAAGTTATCCGCGGAGGCTGAGCTGGCACGATGACATTGTTCGGTGTAAATTCGTCACAGAAAGCAAGAACAAACACAACAGCTGAAGGGAAAGCACACACGTATAAGGCAGGTTCACATATTAGTGTTTGAGTGTGCTCGGGTGTGTTTTGTTCCCTTGCAACCACTTAAAACTCTCTAGCACAATGGCGACATCTGACGGGTAGCTCAGGAACACTCTGGATCTGCGCATGTCTGTAAACCAGCGTTCCTAAAATACTCAGTTGGGAAACTCACCCTTGAAACCCCGACCGCTCGCGTCCACCGACAGCATTCTGGATACGAATCCAGCGCCACCCTTTAGAGGCGAGTGAAAACATGAAAATTCACTTATATAGCTGCTGCGAGATGGCACTGCGAGATGGCGCCACCAGTCCTTGCGCGGCTCGTCCTGAATAGGGGTGTCGCGAACCGGCCGAGGTTCGAGTTCGACCACGTTCGACTTTTTCGACCTTTTAGTGGAAAATTCGACGAACCTTGTATTGAGGTTCGACTCGTGTGCGCATGCGCGACAGGCTGGCCAGTTAGCTTCGGATTGGATGGTGATGGCTAAGAGATGAATTAAGGGCAGCGCTGATTGGTTATTTCAGTTAATAAAGTGCAAAAAATTAAGTTATCAACTTCTTCATTGATTAGAATTGGTTTCTTCTAATTGAAACTGTTCATATAATAAAATAACCCTTTGCATAGAAAAAAAATAATTCAAACCTAGACATGTTTCTATCAAGGTCTAACCACACTCCACAAAGTCGAACCGGTCGAATCTGGTGAAAAGTTTGAAGGTTCGTCGAACCGGTTCGACCCAGTCGAACCCAGTGTTGCCAGATGATCCCACCAAAAACCGCCAAACGACTGGGAGGTATAGCCCAAATATTGCCAAAGCCGTAAAAAAAATATATAGCCCAAAATAGCCAAGACTAAAAACAATGGGTTTTAAGCCTTATATTGATGACTTCTCACACTCATCCAATACACGTTACAATCTTTGTTTCAACCCTCAGATGCACCTCCTTTTGTGTACATTATGTTACTTGGGAATTTGTCAAGAAAAGCTTCGATAGAATGAAAATCCGTACAAAACTGGACCTTCGTTCGTAGGTTTTCAGAAGTACAAAACACACAGACAGGTTTATTGTGAAGCCCGGGAGGTATGATCATACTGTGAAAGAACAAAATACAGACGCAGAACAGTCAGAGCACTATGTATTTCAAAACAGAACCCCAATATCTGAGGTCCTTACGATATCCCTTTTTCTTTATGAAGAATATTGGTGTCACCCATTCATGTTCACGCTATTTTTAATTGTGTGCCCTTTCTTGGGGTGGACAACGACTGGAAGGTAGTCAATTGTTTCGCGGTAAAACTGCGGACATTTCATTTTTACACACTTGGGTGCCTGAAAATTCTCACAATGGGCGCCAAAGCAGCATTTGGAGAGTTCAGTCTACGTCCGGGCAGAGCCATATGCGTCCGGGTTGAAGGCACGCTGCCGGGCCTGAGGTAATAGTGCAATCTGTTTGGCTTGCTCCACTGCACTGTAGGGAGACCGCATGAACTCTGCAAGCATTGCTTCACTGCGCATTGTGAAAACCCCGAAGTTTGTAGAAGTTTGAAGCCTTTCTCCTTCCTCTCTTTCCTCTCGACTAGCCGAAAGAGAAACAATTTTTTTTCGAAACTGATTAAAAGTTCGAAAATTAACTAGCCGAACCTTAAAGTTCGGCGTCGAACTCGAAGTTCGACAAAAGTTCGCCGCATTCTTAGAAATAGCCCAAAATAGCCACATAGCCAAACACAAAGTTTTGACGCCATCTAGAAAAAAATGTAGCCTAATTTGGTCATATACAGCCCAATCTGGCAACACTGGTTGCAAGCGTGTAGAGGTCAGTTCTTGAGTACGGATCCAAGCTACGTTTTCAAAGCAGTTTCCCCAACTGATTTGTTCTAGTAATGGTGCTCTAAACGTGACGCCATATGTACCTTTGTGCAGCACGACTTGTTCCCGACGGCTTGGGGGATTGACGATGGGAAATGAACGTTTGAAATGGATACTTCATTCAAATAAAAGAAGCGAAAAATGCAACAAAGTCCGTTTATTAGGCCGCCAGCTTGACCTCAAAGTTTTGCGACATGTTACGCCTTGGAAAGCGACGGGTAAAATTAGATGTCGGTTTTGGATTCACATTTATGTGTCGTTTTCTGAATAGCTATATGGAATTTAGACGTAATAAATGGCAGGCCAGGAAGAGTAAGGCCTGGTTGTTCCAAGATCCTAGTTAGTTCAGATATATCAAGAAACCGCTTTAATGACGTTCGACCATGCATACATTATTATGTGCATTCGTTCTTAGTGCGTCTTATAAACATCCCAAGCTGAGGCCGAGTGGCGGTTGTAGTGTATAGGTTGTGCTGCATTTCTAAAACAGTCTTAGGGGATATTTCTGGCTCAGAGGCGCCCTATTTGACTTTGAATATGGTTACAGCGCCGAGTTCCACGTTCGGCTCACGTAATCAAAGTACTGTAATGAGATTTAGACTATTTTGTTTAGTTGCGAATCATTGTGACTTCCAACAACTAATGAAAAGTTGGCAGATTAGAAAGGAGCTGCGCAACTTTCTGGATGCAAGTGCAATTGCTTTCTACAAACGAACTCTTTTTACAACATAATGTATAATAAAACATACGTCATATTATAAAAATATAATGCTACAGCTGTATTTTTCGCTGAATTCCCTTTCCCATATGCTCAACCACAATCATATTTTTAAAGGTAGACATGGGCGATTTACACCGGGCCAGAATTGGCTCAAGAAATCTGCCGCATTTTTTTAGCTTGTCCAGCGAAATTTTTAGAGAAATCGAGTTGGGTCAAAATTGGTTCTACACATTAAGAGAGAGAAGAAAGAAATTTCTAAGCACATGCAATTTGAAACCCCAACGTGTCAAGGCCAGCTCGGACCCCTGATCACGGGTGACTGTTTATGTCTTTGATGTCTTCGAATGTTCAAGGTGTCATCTTTTTTGAAGTGTCTGGTGCGTATGAAAATTCCATGGGCTCTGGCGGTTGAGACAGAGGTAGTCCGGTAAATAGAGCATTTGGCAAGTCGGATCACGGCAGGGCCATAGTCATTGAGCAAAAATGTAGAAGTGGATCTTGCGCTAGACGTCTACCTGGTTACAGCATATCAGTATAACAGAAAGAGAGAAAAAAAAAAAAAAAAAAAACTAACCCTCATTTTTTTCTATTTTAATATTTTCTAACCGGGTAGGCAAGTTCCTCAAGGTATGTTTTGAACAGATTGATATCCATATCCAAAGTAATAAAGGAAATTACAAGTGACACTAAATTATTTTTCATAACGTTTTAAGTTTCGTCTGAGAGGCTGAGAGGAACTACTGTCAGGCATCACTAAAAAATTATACTACCTGTGACGTCATTCGACTAAAGATTGCGGTAAAATGTGAATGTTGAAATGTGAAAATTTTTTTAAAAAAGTATCGTTTGGAAAATTAAAAAACAACAACGCCAGAGCGCTTTTTTATATGCACGATATTGTTTTTGGCTTCGTGTGCGCAGATGATGGATCACATCGCTGAGGGTGGCGACGTCTTCATGGGCGTCCTCGGCGAGATAGCCGACCAGGGCAAAGAGATCAACATGCTGAAGCCGTTCCAGGGTCTCACGATGGACTACATCGGTCGCGCAGCTTTCGGAATCGACACAAGTTTTCAGAAGGACCTGAACAATCCATTTCTCATCGCGGCGCAGCGCACACTGAGGGAAGTCATGATCGGTCCCTTTCACATGCTGGCCCGTAAGCACCTTTTTTTTAACAGGCAGGGAACTCTCAATGGACCTCGCTAGCTCGTGTTGGCATTGGTAACACCAGAACAAGGCAAGGAAATATTGTATCAGCAGCGGAAAGGAGCGGTGGAATTGATAGCGCGCGGGACCAATGAACATCCCTTGGATAAACCGGAAATAACCAGCAGGTTGTGAATACGAAACGGCTGCAAATTTTAGGCGAGCAGAGTCCAATGAAACAAAACGCAAGCATTCAATGTAAAAAAAATATATTATTATTAAGTAACGGAGCTAATAGAGGTTAGTTCCAAAAATCAAACGAAAGAACCATATATTTAAACTCAAGGTAAACGTACTCTACAGAGTGATGCACAAGAAACCGAATGAAACAAATGTCAAAACACAAGAGTTTCCTTCAGACGCCATAGGCCTCTATGACGTCTGAATGAAAATTAAAAAGGACACCTAAACACTTCTTATGAGTTGTGAATGCGAAAGCAGGAATGCCGTTCTTCCGCTCCCTTAGTTCGTCTGCCGCGTAGTGCCGTGGACAGCCATGTTTCGCTACTTTCGCGATGGAGGCCGACGGCCGAGCGCGCGCTCATGGTGAAGTGTCCGCGCTGCGCTGAGCTCGGCCGTGCATCCTCTCCGGAGCTTGCCCGTGCGGGCTCTGCGGACAGCTGCTTCCTCTTACCGGCGGCCGGGCCGCTGCGTGGGCGGCGCCGCCATGGAAAGGGCTTTGCTGGTGTCGTTCCTTGGAACTATGGCGCGCGAGAGCTAATGGGAGCCTCGTTCCTTAAGACGAGCGCCTGCCAATGGGAGCCTATCCATCAGATTTCTGTTACAGACGACAGCCTTCGCTCCATTGGGACCGCGGAAGGTGCCGTTTGGCGCGGCTTCAAAAGCTAAACACATCGGTTCGCTCCATGGGACAGTTAATGCTTTCGCGTTAACAAGCGCAGCTCGAAACGCGAGGTACATTTGATATTCATAGAGGAAAATTATCGATTGGTACTTACGATTTATTATAGGACGGTGTTAAAAGAAATACTAAATATATCGCAGCAGCATTTCAGAGGTGATGCGGCCTCACGCCTCCCCGAGCGCCGACCAACGGGTATTGCACTTCCTCTAGGCTTGGCTCTACAGCTCACGACCCTGCGATGGAAGACCACCTCCGTGAGCGCCAGTGATAATGTAACGCGCCGAGAGACTGAGGGAGAGGAGGTGGCAAAAGTGCACGGGGACATCAGAACGCCGAACTCGAATGACTCGTCGAAGGCGTTCGAATACGAGAGACGCCAGACGTCTGCGTTTGCTGCGGGGACAAGGAGTCCTAGCTTCAGGTCGCCACGAACATTTCCAACCAGAGCTCGGCGTTCTGACGTCCTCACATGCTCGCGTCCCCTCGTTTCCCTCACTCAGTTCATTTAAATGAAAATATCCCATGCATTCGGGCCGCTTTGCAACGGCGGGGCGTAGACACGAACATGAGTGTTCTCAATTCATGGTCCCGGTGGGCCCTTATCGCTTGCGACGCCTTAATACGCAGACAGGAGCAGCAAAACATCGCCTGTAAGGTCTGTACCTAGTTATTTTCTAGCCTAATTTGCACAAAAAGACCGGGATCGCGTAATGTATAAATCAAAATGAAGCCGAGAAGCGCTCGAGCAACCTCGACTCGTCGCGCCAATTAATGAACACGCCTAACCTTTCGTCTGCATTCTTTTTCTTTTCTCCTGTGGTTCTCCTCCTCGTTCCTTCCCTCGGGACACCGATGTCAGCGCTCAGGATTTGTCGCCTTCTATTTCCATCTTTACACCCCGTGACGCCGACCGACGAGTATTGCAGTGTCGCGAAGGGGTAAGAAACAAGACCGAACCCTTCGCAAGACAATAGAGATCGAATATCTTTATCTTGCGCCGCGCCGCTTTCATGCAACTTGGAGGTATGGCCCCCAGTTCTTCACTGGGAGCCACACCTGTGTGCACGGCCGCTGAGCGCGTGGCGAGAGTGAGCTGCCGCAGTTCTCTTCGAACGCGTACTCGTCACCATCGAGATTGCCGGTCTTGGCAAGCTATTTGTGAGAGCCTGTTCCGAGCGCGCGCTCTAAGCCTCGCTCTCAAATATGGCGTCCAGTGAGTGCCCCCTGTAAGGAGTGAAACTGAGGGAGGGAAGATGAGCGCTTGTGGCGACGTCGGAGCGTTAGTGTTAGTTGGAACTCTTCCGGCTAGAAAAGGACGTGTTTGAGCGTAGCCTCAATAGACCTTTTTCAGCGCCATTTATCCGAGTCAGCCATTGTTTCGGGCACCTGCTTGGAGCTTGCATCAGGGGGAGGGCAAGAGTTCGGCGCAAACTTGGCCCCGCTCGCATCGAGAACGAATGGTGGGACATACTGAGTTATTATAATGTACGCTAGAGGTTCGACTGGCGCTAGTGCCTGGGCGACTTCGGGGGCGAATTGTAGCAGACAGCAACCAGTCTGTCTGCTTTTGCGCTGCTCCTTGGCCTTCCGATGGGACAACGGGCGTGTAATTGGTCTCTTCATCGGAAAATAACGTAGCACAGTTTTTTTTTTTTTTTTAATTTCGGGTAGTATTGAAGAGTATGTATCTTTATAAACTCCTTTAGCCGGCTTATATTTCTTCAGAAGTAAACGACGTTTAACTTCGCTATATTTCAGTGCCAAACCTGTGTTTCACAGGAGGTGTGTAAAAACGAGCGACGTTTCTAAGTAAAATAACAATAGAGAGGAATGTAGGATGTGTTCGAAAGTCGCCAGCATTCCGGTGACGCTTATATATTCTTGGGAGCTTGCTCGCAAAATCAGGACCAGGCGAGTGGAAGAAAACCACTAAAACTATTACGTTTGACAGTGTTTGAGAAGGAAGAGTAGAAAAATGGGTTCTTAGTTGAGAAAATATTTGAGATATTCTTTTGTGACTTTTTTTGTCAATGAGGTTTCTCCGCACAGCCTTGTGTACGGGGCGCTTTCGTGTACGGAGCATATTTAGCATACCTAAGGTTTGAAGAATTTGTAAGAAAGGTTGTCCCGGTGTACTTTACAACTAAAACAAAAAAAGAAAAATTCTAAAAAGTGTGCGTTTTCACGGTAAGCTGAAGAGTAGTAGAGCTTTTTTTTTTCTCACCTTGCTTTTTTTTTCTTTTTCCTTTCCATACCTTTAATCATAATGTTCCGTTTTCAAATTTGAGGAGTATGATTACTATACTCCGCGACAACTTTTCTTGGCAATGCAGTGGACGGTACAGGCCCGCGTCCCCTCTCCCATTTTGAGTGTGCGCGGGCTCTCCTCCTCTCCCCGGAAATGGGAGAGGAGGAGAGCCTTCGTACACTCAAAATGGGAGAGGGGACGCGGGCCTGTACCTTCCACTGCATTGCCAAGAAAAGTTGTCGCGGAGTATATATGCTTTATAGAGCTTTGAATAGGGTATGTTGCACATGGTCACTTCAAATATTGAAGTATGACAACGTTGTGTTCTTTATTTCAGACTGTACAACCTCATTTGGCCCTCTAGCTGCTCCAATCCTTTGGTTGAGCCGGATATTTGGAAACTTCTCGTTTAAGACTTTTGGCGAACAGACGGCGAAGGTGATTGAGATCCGTAAAAAACATCCAGAGGTGGGTTTGGTTATGCTTTGGCCTTATATTACGTCGATTACTAATTGTGAGAAGATTGTAGGTCTTACCCAAAAATGCTTGAAAATGTCACGCGAACCTCAGTGGCAACGTTACTAAAACACTCAGTTGGGAAACTCGCCGTCGAAACCTGGGCCGCTGGCGTCCACCGAGACCGAGCTAAATGCGACAACAGCGCCACCCTTTATCGTTTGTCTGTACTATGGTCACCTCGAGCTTTTTGAAAGCCCGTTTTTGTGTAAAAACAAACGAAAAAGACTCTTTTTGTATGAAATTTATTGGAGTTTAGTACCAAAAGATGAGCGCGTGATGTTTTTATCATCTTTAGTTTGCAAGGTTTTGCGGAACAATTAATATTGTTTTTATACAACCATGCCTCAGCGGGCCTTTCAGGTAGCGCGTCCGGACCTAGGTGCATTTTAACTTCGGTAGTTGAACGCGGCGCGTCCGCTGGGGAGACCGGGATGGCACCCCTGTAACCTCTACCGCAGTATCTGTTCTTAAAGCCGAAATAGAAGTCACGTGCAGTTCCTCGAGTGGCCGCTGCGGGAGAAATGTTCGTCATTAGCTTGGTGCTCAAAGACAGATTGGGGCCATTTTTTTAAAGCTGTCTCTATGGGACTTTCCCAACGGAGTGTTTTAGTAACGTTGCTCAGTAACTTCCAAGCGGTTTAGTATAAGATTCTCCCTGTAACGTTATACCAATATTGGTTTTTAGTCAATTCACGTTAACAACACAAAATAGCAAATAGCGTGTTCGTCTATAAGACGAACACGCCTCCCTGACGTCACGCAGCTGCGGTGGCGCTGTCAACGGCACTGCGCATGCGCAGAAGCTTCAGTTCACTCGAATTCGGTTTCTGCGCATGCGCAGTGCCCACACCTGGTGTGGGCAAACGCGGACTTGTTTGTAAACAGCGTGTTGGTCTATGGTACGTTATAAGTCTGTTATGTAGGAAACGACTGAAATCAGAAATTGACCGAAACGAGAAAAGCGACCTGAGAGTTACGTTGTCAGAAGAACGTTATCAGCGCCACGTGATCACAAGACATAACGTGAACGTGCCTATTTTGTCATTTGGTCACTTGACCAGCGTCTACTGAATCTGGCTGGCGTTTTATAGCCCTCCAAATTCAGAGCGTTTAGCTGACTTGGAACATCTCGAGCTTTGGTGGCCGCTGTGAAAGAGAGACCGGTGCAGCAGGGCTTCCATTAGCTGACATAAGCGACAACCAATGGCGTCCAATCGTTAAAACTTGCAGTTCGAGTCTTGGTTCACAAATGACCGCACGAGGATTTAGAAATTTCACAATGATGATTTTATTAGGTATGACCAAAATACTTGGAAACGTTTTTTTTTTCTTCTTATCTGCTACGATGTCAGGTCCGCAGTTTTCGTGAAGCCAAGAATGAATCACATCTGTCACCTGAGCTATTTGCTTCAACCGCATTGAAGAAGACGTCATGGCTTCGACGTCGTCAAGCCATTTTCCAATATTTTAGTCTATTTATATGTCTGCCTACTAAGGCAAAGAGAAAACTGTGTCTAAACGTATGGTCTTAACTTTGAGAAGTAGCATGCGCCTTGCAGTGGAGACACGGTTAGTGTAGATAAGATTGCCAGAGCTCTCGTTTATAAACAGAAGCGTACCATCTCCTTTAAGCATCGCAGACCATCTTTTTAGCATTAACGAACAAGCTCGTCCAGGTCTGCGATTTATTGAATCAGTTCATCTGGCGAATACCAATCTTTGCTTTATCTCGTTTCTCTGCTGTTCGAGATTACATCTATTTCTTTTCTTTTTTTCCAAAGGGTGGGAGAGAGAGGCACTGAGACAAGAGCTTAGTATGTCTGCATATTATCAGGGTTAGAGTCAATAAATAAGCTGGGACGAAATTGAAGATTAAACAAAATGAAAACGGGGAATCTTGCTTGACCCATTTCGAGGCTCCGTCAGGCATTATTGGCGATCGCCATTTCTGGAGGCAAAAAGCGTGAGAGAGAATCCAAGCCCCTGCCAGACGCTGACGCGGTCTTCGGGTTCCAATCCGTGCTTAGGATGCTTTCGAAAAGTATGGCAGTCTCAGATAACAGGTTACTTCCATAAATCAGTCACCCCGGGCGTTGCATTCTGGGAACCTGCTGGCCAGGAGCGGAGCGCGTGTGTATTTTGCTGCCCACCGATTCCCACAATGCATAGCGTGGCATTGCGCCGCGATGAAGCGTTTGGAGCTTTGAAGTTAGTCTATTGGCGCAGCAACTAATGAATAGCGCGCTCTTTAAAATATATACATACAAACGAGTTGCACAGTTTCGTTTACTTCTTGAATTATCTTTATTAGCTACGAAGAAACGACTTGCTCCAGAATCTCATCGATGCGGAGTATGAGGATCTTGCACCTGCGCAGACATCCTCGGGTGAAGCAACAAACGGCAGTATTAAAGGTATGCACATGTGTAAGCTAATGCCATTTTTGCAAAAAAAAAAAAAAAAAAAATAGCTCGAGCATTTTTTGTAGTTAAGTCTATTGCGGATGGTCACTTTCTCACAAAAATATTTTGTTATAGTGATTTATAACTTAAAAAATGCCGGATGTGGCTTATTATGTTTGCGCTTCTAGTTTTGTTTCTTCTTCCGCAATGTTATTAAGGGCTGACGTCCCAATTTCCTAGGCCCCATAGCGGTAATCAGGTAACAAGAACTCACCGCGCAGTGCGCTTCTTAAGGCGTCGCGTACTGTAACCTTACATTTCCACTTTTGTTGTGCCATTGTATTTGATCCCTCAGCACTGCGTCGAACGAAGTTTGAGGATTCGGCGCTGCGTATTTTTGTTTAAAAAAAAAATATTTTCCTGGCTAATATGTACCGTCAAATGCAGGGAAGCTGCGACAGCACTTGATTGAACTCATGGGATGGGGTTTACTCGTGTTGTTCGTACCGTAGGAGGAAGGTAGGGAGTAAAAGCAGCGCAGCAACATTTCCTTCCCCCAACGTTCCCTTCCACCTCACCCCTCCACCTTGATCCCTGCCCCCTCCCTCTAACGGTACGACCAAGGCGAGAGGTTCTTATATAAGAGCTATCAGCCATGTCCACCTTTCGTAACTAATTAGCGTTGTTTTAAAGTTAGTAGCACGTCTAAGTAGTCGCCAGCTAAGCGAAGAATCGGCGACTGAGGACCGACTGGTCTTACGGTATGCAAGAGCGCAAAGCAATCGGGTGACTATCTACTGGAAAGTAACAAGCGGAAGTGACGCAAAACGATAGTTCACGCATGCGCGTACTTTGACGCCACTGCGTGGATGGGGTCTAAGTCAAAAGTAAAAAAAAAGTATTACTTAAATATCTCTTGGCAAAAAAAAAAGTTTTTTATAACGAGAGGCGGATTGTCCGGGACAAAGTTTTTTAAAGGAAATTATTAATAAAAAAGCTCAGGGCAGAAAATACGGAAGACTCGTTGCCAAGGGCATCCTCGACTATGGAAGGGCTTTCGGAGGCGCAATGGGGGGCGACGGGTGTATCACTGGGGCGCGTGTTAACCCACCCGCCTTCTCCCGTTTACTGCGCTTCGCGGCGACAGTCTGCGCATGGCTCATTAAAACAATAAGTAACCCCCCTGGCCCATCCGTACACGCCGCTTCGCGGTGCCCCGCCGGCAGCCCAAGCCCCTCTGTCCCCCATTGCACCTCCGAAAAAAACGCATCCATATGGAGACGCCAGTAAATAAGGACTCTGTCGTCGTCCAGCGCCTTAGTCGCTTTAGCGCTGTCTCTGATTCCTGAACATGTCTATTCCCACAATATTTTCTGCTGAGATTCTTTCTGGATGTGTCCCTCAGGGTCTCAATTACCCCTGGCGGTCAGCGGCGTCAGCCATGGCGCTTAACCGCTCCGATAGACACCGGCTAAACTAGACGCACCCCTTGACTAAGATTTCTTAGCCGTCCTCTAAGTCGCTCGGGGCGACAAAGACATGATCGGTGAATACCGAGTGTTTACTAAGCTGTAGCTGCTACCTGTCACGTGACCATTTTAGTCGGTTACGTAGTTATAGTCAGCGGTTACACAAGCGCTACAGTCACGTCTGGTGAATACGGCTGTATGTCTTTAAAACAACAACAGTGTTAGAGGGATGGTGAGGGGGGTTCACATTCTGTAAAAATCGACACGCTCTATACTTCGTTTCAGCTTTGGTCCGAGCGCGGCCGATGTTGTGAGCCGAAGGGCCAATCGAAGAGCGCAAAAAGCGTAGCGTCATGGCATGCTCTCTGCGCTGGATAGGACTAGCCGGCTGAGGAGCACGCACAGAGAGACGGCGAATACCGGCTAGCCCTATCAACTGCAGAGAGCACGCCATGACGTTGTGCCTCTTTCGCTGCTTGATTGGCCCTTCGGCTCATAACATAGGCCGCGCTCGGACCGAAGCTGAAACGAAGTATAGCTAACAAAGCCGTGGGGCTAGAGGTTTTATGTCACCTACCATAGGCCAGAGACATATACGGCTCTGCCAAAGGCCAGCGCGGTGCATGGGATGGACACGTGCGTTCCGTCTGCGTTCGGCTGGAGTGTCCGATCAGTGAAGGAAAGCGATCCAGTGGAACGTTGACGTAGCACCCGATCAACTCCAAGTGGCAAACAGGCAGACGCTTGACGAGAGTAACGGGAAAGCGTGACGTCGCTGCCTACAAGCGTCGCGCTCATGAGACGCCACGGCGAGGCCACTAGGGACGCGTCTGCAGCTTCGGGGATGACTTTGCCTCTGGGGTTGAGTCGGGGACATAAGGGGCGAGTGAGTCGCCTGCTCCTTGCGCAGGAGCGGTGGTGACGACAGAACGACGCCGAATTCCGATTGGCTTTGATGGAAAGAATCTAAACAGTGCTGCACCCGAAGTGAAGTTAATGACCTCTACAACGTATGTTAGGCCTACATTGGAGTACGCTGCATCGGTACGGGGCTTCTACAAAAAAGATCAAATTAGTGAACTCAAAAAAGTTCAGAGGAAGGCGGTGCGATTTATTGTCTCCAAATGCATGAGACTCGGTTCTGTCACAGAAATGCCGCACAGCCTCAGTCTCCCCTTACTTTCGATCCGTCGAAAAATTGCTCGACAAAAGTTTTTCTCTTTGTTTTCTCATCACCTGTCTAATAATAACCGGGATTCTATAGATTAACGAATCTTGCATCGATAGAACTAAAATAGGTTAGCACTAATCAGTTTGAAGTGCCCAAATGTAATATAGACGCTTATAAGTTTTTTTTTACCCCTATAACTGTAAAAGATTGGAATAATTCCCCGAAAAATATTTTTGTCATCGGACTGTTTAGTTGAATTTGAGGGCTCCCTTCTGAATGTGTATAAGTTGGACCGATAAGTAGTAGTTCTAGTTCTTTTGCTAAGTAGTTGATTTCAAGTGCTGTTTCAGCCCCTTTATTATGAGTAGATGTCGCTGAATGTGTACTGTATTAAAGTACCGATGTTCTATGTTTGAGTGTTCTTTTATACCCGACACCTGTTAAAGCCCCGTACTTGGGGTGAACAGTATTCACAAATAACAAAAAAATAATAATAGTGGGTAGACCTCGACGCTAGATGATTTTAGGTCTACCGAGTATTTTTTTTTTAAAGTATTCCAAAATGAGCTTGGCGCTCCGACATCATGGCAACCCCTGTGCTAGAAGCGGACAAATTTGCGCTCCACATAACGATGACGTGTTTGCGGGGAGGGGGATGGAGAAAAGCGCCGGCTTTGTCTTCTAGGTAGTATTGCTCTGGCACAGTTGAAAAATGGGTGCAATGCAATGTCATACAATTTAAACTTCGTAATTTTTGTGAAAGGTAAACGCACGTGCTATATGGGATTTTCCTATAACAACTTCTATTGAAAAGTAGTTGGATTATGGTATTTCTTTTTTGTTGTACAGAACCCGCCATTACCCTGATATTGTATAAGCGTCCGACTAACATGTTCAGATCGTTGCACTTGAATAATGTTTGCTCGGTTTTTCTAAGGACAGTTTGTACTATTTTTGTTATCTATGTACCCGCATTTCGTCGGGCTTGAACGGGAGAAGCGATAAAAAGTGATATCAAATTATTTCCGCTTTGCAGTTGCTCGGAAAACCAGGGCATTATCTTCGGAAGAAGTAATCATGAACTCGACTGTCTTATTCGTTGGAGGGTGAGTTTGATTCGGTTGTTCGTTTCAATTCATCAACGCGTTTCATTAGTGGAACGTGAGTTGGCAAACCAAGCTTCTATATTAGCTCGTAGTCCAAGAACTTCCGTGATGGTGTCCTATTAGAAACCGATCTTCGAGCACGTAGTGTCAACTTCAATCTTGGTAACACTTATTTTTATATTGCGTGGCTTTGAAGAGAATTCATGTATGAAATTTAGCTCCAATAAAAATAAGAAAGTAAAAAAAAACTTCCTCCTAGTGCTTAGACGAAAAACTATCAGTTTGTTAAGTATAAAAAAAAAACTTCGGCCATTTACCACTTTATGAAGACCCTGTGGAATATAACGGCCTTACCAATAGTCAATCATGTTCTGTAAGGTGATATATTAAAGTATGTTTGTGTGCATGTTAAATGGGATAATACACAAAAATAAGAACAAATAGATTACGCTTGCCATGAAACGCTCATAGGTTACTTAGGATGCACACTGAGTTTTATGATTATGAGAGCTCTAGTAATAAGAAGAATTAATTTTATAATCTCGACAACTTGCATCTGGCGACTAAGAAAACCTGAGAAAGTCCTAGCGTAATGAGCCAAGAGTATTCTTATCATGGTCCCCCTGAACCATGTTATTTCAACTATATAGCTGAAGGCTTTAAAAGTACAGGCGTTCAGCGAGCAACAGCTTTCGAAAATCCCTTAGCATGGTCCGATCACTTCAAGTTCAGAAGCTTTCCCTGCTGATCCGGACCACTAATGCTACATTTTGTGGGAAGTGCATCGACCCTTCTGCAATGCGCAGTTTATTTTTGCGTTAGAAACATCACTGTACACATTTTCTTCAGGCACCCAGTATAAGGCAGCTTCCTTTGAAGCGTTAGATTTTTCAATACCAAGTAAATGCGTCATTTCGTGGGTGTCTGCTTAGGCCCATAACGATCTTTGCTCAGATATAAGAACCTTTTGAGGTGCTAACACTGATGCGTGGTTCTGCCACTCACAGCTTCGACACAAGTGCAACCGCCCTCTCTTTCATTACGTACGCTCTCGGCAAGTACCCAGACGTCCAGGAGAAGGTTAGGCAGGAAGTGAACGAGGTGCTCAACGAGGGTGTAAGTTTGATTTACTCGGAATGTGTTTGTGCGGTGGTTTTCTACGAAAATATTGTAGCGCTCGACTACCGCGTTCGACCGTTATACGTGTGTTAAAGATATAACAAATACAGGCACCATGGTGCAATTGCAAAACATAAATGCAAGACCCACAGGAATTGAGCCTAAGTGCTTCGAAGCTGCACACTAAACTGGCTGTGCTAAGCAGAATAGGGCGTGGGAAGAGCTAACGGTTGGTTTGTAAAGTAAATATTTTACACTAGCTTTAATCATGCTGTCAAAAACCGCGGAACACAGAATGTGCTAAGTTACCATACGCTGGACGTGTTTGGATTGGGCATGCTGTCTGTGTGTAATGATGAGTAAAAATGATGTGTGTGAAGCAGGCACTGAAACCATATCCGTACCCGGAACTGAAAACCGTTTATTAACGAAATTTGTTTAGTAACCGTAATGGGCCGAAACCTTTATTTGAGCTTTATATAAACCGTAACGGTAAGCGTAGTTGGAAATGATTGACTGTTAACCAATATTAATAAAAGATAAGAGAATTAGCGTTCCCAAGAATGCCTGGTGGAGAGATTTTGAAATGTCATTGCCGTTTAACAGGGTTAAGGTCACCGAACGGTGCATCATGCTAATATATTTCTGTTCAATCCAAATCTAATACTTATTTGGAATCAGTGGTCGAGCTTATAATGATGTCGTTATTTCTAAATATTTCACACGCCTTCAATTGCTACATGTATCCAGTACGTGTCGCCACGACGAAATTTCGTGCCATCCCTAGTTGCAACATATCTGTAAGAGAAACTTTAGCTCCAGAAACCGGAAAAAATGGCGCTAATATATAAATGCATGGTTTTTCAAGCGTCACAGAATCTGAGAGTAAGAAACGTGCGCTTTTATAACCAAATGCATCTGCTTGAAAATAGCAATCGAGACTGAGGTGTAAAGACGCATAATAACGAAGACTTGTGAAAGGAACGAACACGCAACATATTTTTACAGGTTACTGTGTTGTTCGTTCCTCTACGTAGTCTTCCTTGTTTTGCGCTATTGCGTTTAAATTATGTTTAATAGTCGCCAACTAGCCCAAAGTCAATTTTATTATACTTTATGGTACTTAAGAGTGCTTTAGTAGAGGATGGCTATAGGTCTGCTCCTTCAATTCATCAGTGTGGACGAAGCCTCTTATGCATACCTTAGGTTGCAACAAACTATAGCGACGAGGACGTGCGAATGATTCTTTCAGCACCCAATGGAAACTTTCGGGAGGTTGCTTACAAACGCTGGCAAACAACAAAGTAGCGATGTTTATTTTTCTTTATTTTTCTTATACAGGAGCGATAATCGCTGAGTTGCGGCGGTAACTTGTTTGCTTGCGTTTCAAACAATTTAATCTTAATAGATGTAGTGAACAAGTGTTGGAGCTAGAAACGTGTGCAGATTTGATCAACTAGAAATAATAAGACGTTTTTTGGATTTTTTGTTGTTATGAATGTCCCATTGTTGTATATCTGGGAACACTTTACTCCGTTTATTATAAAACGGCTGTCTAGCGTCTGAATAAAGAAAAACAATTAAAAATAGCGACAAGAAAAAAAAAAAGACGTTTTTTAGGAACGTGTGGCCGGTAACTAAAACTGTAAAACACAGAAACGAAACCGATGTCACCAGAAAACGGTAGCCATAACCGTGACCGAAACGCGCTATTTTACGGTCTCTGTTGTGGTGCTATTGCAACCACACACTTCACGCGTATGGTAACTCAACAAACTCTCTGCCTTCTGGCTTTTATTCTAATGATACAGCTACAGTACAACTGTATTCAACAGGAATCGTGTTCAGTGCTTCAAGGGAAGCTGAGGACGTAGTTAATTTCGAAGGGCCTTGTCACGAAGCCAACACCCTTTTTTCAGAATGGATGCCATGATTTATGAATCCAGCCGAAGCAAAACGAACAGTTCTGGTTTTGACGAAAATAATTCCTAGAGAAGGCGAACAAGATGGCACAGGGTCAAACACAAACCTCCAATACCCGGACCAGGCGGATTTTGTCGGTCGCGCACCAGTCACCTAGCTGTGTTTGAATATTTCTGTTTGTCCTTTGTCCCTCTTGTTCCCTTCTCCAGGGATTATTTTCATCATTCTTGTCCAGCTCGCTTGCACCTTTGCATTTGATTGCGTTATAAAATTCTAATTTGGTGTTTTTGCTTTCACAATATTTTTTTGCAACATGGTCATAGACAACTTCATTTTTAAAGATATAATCTGGTTTCTGAATGTCCTTTCGTTTCCAGTTCGGGTTCACTAGTTAAGTACGTTAGTTCATCCTTCTTTGTAATAATAATAATAGATAATAATAATAGTAATAAACTTGTATCCAGGATATATTCATAAAAGCACAACAGGAGTGCGGGGGCAAACAAGTCCAACAATGGCTTGTGTAATGCCGCTATAAAAAAAAAAACTATTGAAAAAAAGACATGTCCGCTAATAAAAGCGGTGTAAAGTTTGTCACAAGTTTCTATAATGATAATTTTCCATTGTCACTAAATTTCTATAATAATGTTTATTGCATGTAAAGTAAACATACAAAAACAGACCTGACTAATCCTCATTGGGCTTGTCTGGCAGCGTCTGGAAGTCTGCAAAAGAAACACACACGCACAAATGAAGCACATAAGTTAGAAAAGGAAAGCCGTTTACAACTCCCTGTAACGCCGAATTCGAGCGCAGCTCTTGAGGAGGAGGAGGGAAGGGTACTGAGGGGAGGGTGCAGCCCTCCTCCCTCCTCACCTCGTTATCCTGCCGGCTACTCCTCCTCCTCTCCTCCCTCCTTCTTCCCTCATCCTCCTTCCCCCCCCCATGGCCCCAGTGAGGTCGCGTGACCTCCGTGACGTCAAGGGGGTCACGTGACCTCACTGGGGCCACTGGGGGGTCACGTGACCTCAGGTGGTGACGTGACGTCGGTCACGTGACCCCATGGTTACGCCGACGCCGCTCAAGCCGGAAACGGCCGCCTAAGAGCTGCGCTCTAAAACGAAATTAATCAAAACCAAAACACAAGTCAACCAGGGTCAACCAGGGGGGTTAGTTATTAGGTTAGTTATCGAGATATACAACTGTATAAGTAAATAGTTTATACTTGTTAGCACAATAACATTTAAAACGTGTGTTGTACACGTAAAGAGAGTTTTTTTTGTTAATAAGGTTCATGCTTCCAGGGGTCGCTGGACTATGAGGCTGTTACAAGAAAACTAAAGTACGTCATACAGGTTATCAATGAGGCCATGCGGATATGGCCACCCGGTCTCACGTGAGTACGAAAGTGACTTTTTTAGCGGAAGTGCCAAAATACTGACATCATTTGGCATTTGCCTTTATATTAACTGTTGTGCAGTTTTCGCTTTGTTGTATGTAAACCTGAAAATAAAGCCAAATTAAATTAGAACTGTATATAAAGCTACCACTGAATTCATCAGGATTGTAAACCTATATCAGTTACACCCGCAACTCTAATACTTCACGTTAACATTAGTTACCTTAACATTTCACAGGTCTTTCTAGAACCTAATTGTCTTGCAGATAGCTATAGGCTAACCAAAAACGGTTTAAGGTTTTAAGTCGTGGTTTTTTCTGCTCAAATCAGCATTTGCCATAGTTTCAGCAAACGAAAGCACTTCAATGTAAAAACAAAGATGACAGAAACAAATAAAACATGCGAGGTGGTGGGCTCGCGATGCAGGAGAACAGTTCAGTGTAGGGTAAGACGACAGAAACCAAGTATCAAACTAAACTTTTGTACGCGTCTATACTTTCTTTAAGTAAACCCTCCCTTCTCTTTGATGAGCTGGCGAAGATTCCCTTAATCGGCTGCGTCATAACAATTACGCGTTGAACTTCAAGAAGCTGAGAACGAAATAAGTGTTGACCCAACACCTCCTTGATTAGAAGGCTGTAGTGCTGAGATTTCGACGTCAATTGAAAGAGTAAACGCAGGGCGTGGATTGGACATGTCTCAGGCGAAAGGTGACCCAGCCCTCGTGTACAATTCGTGCCCTGCGCTTGGCTCTTTATGTGGCGCAGAAACTTCAGTCATCGAGCCTGGTTCTTGGGGAGGCGTGGTTCTTGTACAGTGTGTTCTCAAGGGCTATTTGGTCGCAAACATCCGTATGAATAAACTAATTTAACCAGAGTACATTGAAAATTTTCAAAAGGGAGTCTTTAGGTGATGCATTTATTGTAGTAAAGATTTACGAGTGTATGACAGAGGAACATAACAAATAAAAACACACAAAAATCAGCAGAGACACAAGACTGCTTACGTGTGAAAATGCAAAAGTATGACGCACGCACTAGACACACCTTTGGCCCACCAGAACCGTCGAGCCGCCGTGGTGTCGGGGAAGTGTGCTCTTCTCGCACACCGAAGGCCTGGGTTCGATTCCCATCCATACCAGAATGCACCAAATTATGTTTTGAAGCCATCAATTTGTTTTGTTTACAGGAACCTCCCTGAACAATTTGACGTCAATCCGAGCATTTGTGACGTACTTTCACTTGGCTCTGTCGGCCATATTTAGTTACATCGCTCGGTCACGCCGCCAACGACGTCGGATTTTCACGTAATGGGGCATATGATACTTTCGCATTAAATACCTCTTTCTTAATGCACAAAAAGGAAAACCGAAAAAAAAAAAAAACTCTGGTTGACGCTGCTACTCACAGATAGTACCGCACACATTCGGATCTGCTGGACTGCTTCAGGGTTTTCATCTCAAAGAAACTTTTACGTTTTTGCTTTATATAGCGCCAGCTGTGGGTAGCAGCCTCAACCCTAACTGTTTTGCCGTTTTTTTTTTCTTGTGCGCAGGAGAAAGAGGTATTTTTAGGCAGAATATTTTTTTTCTTTGAAATCTACTGTCATAAAACTAGATTACGGTAAATAAATACAAACACCTAAATGCAAGCCTAAATTTGTAATGCCCTCAGTTCATTGGCTCATTTATTCTATTTTTTTTTGCGGCCCTTAAGAGCGTGAGAACACACTGGAAAACACGTCTCCGCGTCACGCCGAAACATATTCTACGGGGGGAAAGCTGAACAAAACAAAAGGCAACTTCGATACCGTGCTGGTACAAGTAACATGCATTACAATTTCCTTTGCACCCTTTCCATGTTTTCGCTTCGTCATTTGACCGACTGCACTCTCGGGCATAGGGTAGTTTCGTACATTCGTGTCTTATCATTGAGTGCGTTACGTTTTCTGGTAAGAGCTTGCGATGACGGAATACTCTGGTACACTCGCGCCACCTTTTTTTATGCGCCATGAGCACCATGGGCAACCATTTTTCATGGAGTGTGCTTACATTCGATTTCGCGAATACTGCACAAACTCCAGTCTGTAATCAGTTACGGGTTAAGAAAAGTTTTCGAGGTAAAGAAGGGCTAAAGAGGAGGAAGCGAATGTCATACCGGAGAGGAGGAAACTTCCTCTTCGCTTAAGCGTTCCGTCTGCTTCATCCTCCTAGCCTTCCTTTTTCCTCGAAAACTTTTCTTAACCGGTCACTGACTATAGTTAGAGGCACTTAAGGGCTCTTTGACAGATGGCGCTAGTACGGCACTGTGGTCTTGTCGTCGTAAGCTATTACAAGGGAATGTAATTCACTTTAGCAGCCTCAAATGCTCCTATGCGAACCAGCCTCAACTTTTGACGATAAGGGAGTCTACCACATGCGTTCTCCTGTAATACGGCAGAAAAACGCAAACCTGGCACAAGCCTGGCGACCCCAGATGGCCTAACATCCTAACACGGGTTTGCTCCAAGGACAAAGTGCCTTCCTTTTGAGTTTCTATGATTTTTCTCTGGCCCACAACATAACCACCAGAGTGCCAAACTTAAGCCAAGGATGGCACGTATAAATCGAAGAACCAGCAGCAGTGTAGCCTAACCCTGGCACTAGTCGAGAAATTTACATCTCCAGATTCCACATGAAAACGGAACAACTAGAAGTGACGCCTGACTCTACCACCGTTTTTGTGATTTCGACCAAAGGTACGAGATAACAGCCAAAGTACCAGCGGTGAAGCCCGAATTTGACAATTTTTTTGGCGAGGTAAGAGTCAAGTCAGCAAGACTCTGGCTTAAGAAGGCCAAGTGTGCGCGTACTTAGGCTTCTTCGGGTTTTTAAGGCCCAAACTTTCCCTATAACAATCCAATTTTGCCCCAAATTTTTGTACTACTCGGGTTTCCGCACGGGCATGCCTGTCAAGTGTTGTAACTTGTAACATAAGAAAAGGTCGTCGACCTCATCCACAGGTTTACCACAAGGCAGGCGAGGGAAGATTTTGAGTACCAGGGCATCAAATACAAGGCCGGGACTTGCATCATGTCTCCAGTGGCCGTGATCCACATGGACGAGAGGTTTTTTCCGGATCCCACAAAGTTTGACCCTGACAGGTATTAGTGACACGATGCCGTCTGGATCCTGATGACAACGAGGAGGTTTATCGTGTCGAAGAAAATAGTGACTATATTTTTGTGATGTCGATTATGGCGTGTGATAATTTTATCTTGGTCATTAATAGCACCCTTCAGGTGCATTTGGAATTCTTGGTAACTATTTTTAAGGTTTTTACTATAATTGAGCCGAGTTGGTTTATTTGTGGTTTGGTCAATCCCCAAGCATCAGGCAACTTTTAAAACACGAAATAACATAAAGTTGCAGACAAACTTTAATCTCAACAACGATGCCAAATGTCAATATTAAATAACCGTCCGTGGCATTCATTCACTGTTAGAATGTTAAAGCAACGTTGAAGGAAGTGGTGAAGAAAATTCAGAAAAGAAAGGTTATACGAGGTTCGTTATGCAGGCAAAGACTGGTAAACACCGAACGTGTGTTGGGCCTATATATATATCTAGGAAAAACGAGGAGGACGTAACGCGCTCGCGCCTTTTCACTCGCTACGCCAAAAACTTTGCTTCTGCGTGATTCGACCCCCGGCCCTGGATAGCGCAGTGATCAAAGAACCTGTCTTACCCTATAGATGAGTTCGAATCCTAACGGGAGCTGAAGTATTTGTATACGCTTCCCTACGGACGCAACGCTTTTGGGTGTCGGTCTTCTTTACAGCGGGCCTTTACAGCCAAACGTTACAGAACTCCGAAAAAATCGGTTGGTAAAACATATTTCGTGTTAAAGGCTGGTTCACACATTTGCAACGGTTGCGTTCGCATGCAACCGAAACGACCGTAACGATTAAAACACCGTAAAAAACGTGACTCATTGATCGCTTCGCGAATCTACCTCTTGCATCGCTTGCCATGTTGCGTACGGCGAACACTTGTCCGGGTGACCTTGTTACAGTCGTTTCGGTTGCATGCGAACGCAACCGATGCAAATGTGTGAACCAGCCTTAAAGGGGCGGTGCAACGATATTCAGTTGGAATGTTTTTCTCTCTACACGAGCTTACTGGCACACCTGGGACTCAAGGATACTCACACGCAACGCCATTGGCCAAGAAACTCCTTTGTTGCGGTGTAATTTCAAGGACAAAAGCGATCATTTCCATTCAATCTCTCCTTTGCAAAATTTGATGACGTAACTCGGGGATCGCAGTACACCCAAGTGACGATATTTGAATGCGGTTCATAGATTGGACCCGAGCATTGCGTGGGCACTCGACTTGGGCTCGTGACAATTGCTAGCTCGAGAAGCATTCGGGTTGTGACCCGTGTCCAATCGCTGCAACGACGACAACAGCCGAGCCATAACAATGTCTGGAACTCAGCGCGTGTCCTCCGCTTTGCCAACCCCAGCGCGTGGCTATGATCAACACTGGCGGCATATAATCGGCTCCAGATCACATGGCCGCTTGTTCTGGCTGCGAGTTGAGGGGGTAAACGCTGCTCGTTTTTCTTTAATTTTTTTCTGGGACTTCTATTGCGTGGGGTGAAAAACGAACGCGTGTTTCATAGGTCATTAACATTAGGGATCCGTTTTAAGCGGTATTTGCGCAAAGTACAAAAATTGTTGCACAGCTCCTTTAAGAGCCGATTAGAAATTTTTTTTATACCACGTTGCATTTGCCCGAAAACATTAGTTCTTCCATTGGCCCACAGTCACTCACAATTTGAGAATTGCAGGCGTTGATGACCATGTTCGCGCATCTGGCATCGCGATTCCTTGTTCAAGGTTGCGATTGTTGGCTAATGCCACAAGCTCTTTGGCAGCGCACGGATACCAAGACGCTCGGGAATAGACCCTTTTTCAAATTTTGAAATGATGCATAAATTCTTGGTGGCCACCATTCATGCAGCGTGAGCGCGCTTTAAACGCGAGTGCTTCGCCGATGTTCAAAGTGCACTCGGATCGTAAGGCATCCCCCACGAGAGCTGCGTCAGTGCTTAGCACCCACTCGGAACCAAGCACCGGCTTCACGTCTGAAGCGACGAGACCTGACGGCTGCGCATAATCTATGCATCATTGCACAATTTCAGAAAGGGTCTATTCCTTCATCTTTCTATAAAGGGGCACTGAAGTCGATTCTGAGATCGTCCATTTGTGCTGACAACTCAATCTATACGCTCTAAGCATCCCAACAAACCCGAAAGCACAACCGTGCGTAGCTTTTTTCCTCGTTAAAAGTGTGTTCAAAGATCGCGACACGCCCTTTTTGGGAAGTCGTTTCTTTCGACTGTAGTGGGCGACGAAGGGCGCTTGTCGGTGAGTTGCACGCGATGGTTTCTCCTTCAGCGGTGAAAAAGAGGAGTCTTATCCGACTCTCTTCGAAACTAGTTATAATAAATTCATTAGAAATCTGCGGGTATTGTAAGGCTTTCATTAATCCACACAACACGCGATAAAAAGGAGTCCACATGTTTTTCTTTTGCCTTAAGATGGATAGGCGATTTTGTAGTATAGGACTTGGTATGCGTGGGAACTAACACATTTTAACCAATAAATATCAAAAATGACCTTTTTCAAAAATGACTTCAGTGCCCCTTTAGGCTGTAAGAGACTACAGTCATTTACAGCTTATGAAATGTACGAGTGGCTTATAATGCTGACACTTCTCGCCTCGTTATATTCTTTTGCGCTCTTTTCACAATCTAATGGGTTGCTGAGTGACAATTAAATTCTCCAGTCTCTCCACGCCCAGAGTTTCTTAACTTGTCGGTGTCTATACTGGTGTGCGTCAAAGAGCTCTGCACCCACTGTACTCCGTTCACCCCTAAGTTGACAGTGCGGTGAAAGCTACGCGCGCGATGATCCTGTCCTGTGCCTATCTTGTTCCGGGTGATGGGCACTGCAGCCAATACCCACGCGCAGAGAGCGGAGCGCAGGTGGTCGAGGCGGTTGATTGACCCTGCGATTGCGTATCTTTCACACCGCGATCAGTTTAGTCGGGAAAGAAGTATAACGTAAATGGGCTGTCGCAACGGGACGCAACAACCTCTCAACGTAGAAGCTCAAATTTATTGAGCATTTGGATATTGAAGTTTCGTCTTGCATTTGGTGCCGTATTAACCCCTGCTCCCTCATCCGTCATAAAACGTTCGGTGCTCGGTGATCACCGTGTCAAATGCTTTACTAGGACCTTACATTCTACTCTCTTCATTTTGATTAGACAGCACATCTGAAGTGCCAAATGTTCTCTTAGCGGGTGGCACTCCCGTGTTCGGGAGAACTATTGAGCATCGCTCAGTTCACGCTGTCGTGCCTTCGCGCTGTGCCGAGGTAGAGGGCTGCCGTGGACGCACCAAGATACCTGATTTGGCGAGTCAGCAGAGACGGCCGTCTCCGCCGTCTCGATGGGTATCGACGACGATAGATGGTCATGGACACCCGTGATCCGAATTCGAAGGAGGCTGCGATCGTGAACTACTGCCAAATACAGAAAAGCTGTCTGCGCCAAGGACATTCAAGTTTCGCGTGTGAAGCTGAATTCACACGTAAAGCATTTCACTGTGTGTTGCAGGTTCAGCGAGGAGAACGAAGGCAGTATCCCGAAGTTGGCTTTCCAGCCTTTTGGAATGGGTCCTCGAAACTGCCTGGGACTCAGGCTTGCTTATCTCGATCTTGCCTACACTGTTGCCAGGATGGCGCAGAATTTCCGCTGGGAACTCGGAGAATCACAGAAGGCAAGTTAAATCAGAGGCCTATATGACGTGCGAGCTGTCTGTTCCTTGCGCACCTCATTCATTGGTTTACATACTCAAACGCTCACACCTGCTTTTGTTTCCATCCGATCTAAACCAACGATAGCCTGCGCTTGGTTGTCTCGTCATCGCGCATTCTCTATGTTGCCCTATGGTTAATGTGCTCGTTTTTAAGGACGAACACGCCCATTCTCGGAAGGCAATTGCCTTCCCATGCGGCGAAGACAAACTTCGCAACACTTGCCCGTCGTGTCACTTCTTTGACGCCGATTTTTGGGTAATCCAAGGAAGATCCCCTTAGATCACTTCGCTCTGCTCTTCTTTTGGCACACACCACGTCCAGAAGATCTAAACTTGACGAACAGCAAGTTGGAGCCTAAAGTTTGCGGAGAGCGCAGATTGAAGTTCGGGGACGAAAGCGGGGCGTCATCTTCCTGAGAGTCTACTTGGCGGGCTCCGTGGACTTAGGCTCTAAGTTTGTCATAATAACTTTAACCCGAGACTGTAGCAAAAGAAGAAAATAATCTTTATAGCTGCAGAAAAAAAAAAACGGCCAGACTGTGCTGGGTCACTACGCGGCTTTGGTTTTGTGTCGCGTTTCAAGCAATCTGATATATTTGTAGTAAGGTTGGCTCGGCATGCTTGTCTCCTTTTTAGACAAGTCTTTAGTAGAGGTAGGGGTGGGGAGGAAAGGGTCAACCTTGCAGCCTGTTTTTGCGGCACAGTTAGAAAGCACTGTGCTCTTATCTTGAAGTGGGACCTCATGAGATAGAAGAGAAACGGTCCAGAAGTTACTTGTTCAATTGTGCTCGTCCTCTGTAGGCTGCTTTTACAGCGGAGCTCTTCAGGGCTAGTCGCCCCAGGATCGGGTCCCGCGCAGAGAAATGGAGACACCGAACTCTGAACACCTACCGCCATCTATGAGCGACGGTGGTAAGCCACGTATCTGGTTGTCGCCGTCGCTCATAGATGGCGGCAGCCTTTCCACTGTGGCAGTCTGGCTTGCCGACTTGCGTCCGGCCATTACATTCCATTGCACAGCTCCGCTGGTCTTCCTTCTTCACCAGAGTGGAAAGGGTGAAAGATTTTACGGGTTTAGGGTTTAAAGCCTGATATGCTTCTTAAAACTACCCCCAATCCCAAACCTTTGCCAGTTCGTCCGTTCGCGCAGTTTCCGCTAAATTTAGCGGGAAAATTGATATGACAAGACCTATACACAAAATTAGTTTTTCAGCTAAATGTAGCGGAAAAAAATGACGGAACGTGAACTATACACCTTGGAGAAATTGATGGTACGCGACCTGCACGTGAACTCAATTTCCCCGCTACATTTAGCGCGAAAATGTACAACTTTTGGCCAAAACACTAATTTAATTTCCCCGCTAAATTTACCTGGAAACTGACGCCAGGTGACCTGTACACCAACTCAATTACCCGTAAATTTAACAAGGAAATTCACGTCTCATGGACTAGACACCAACCCAGTTTTCCTGCTACATTCAGCGGTGAATATCGACGTCACGTGACCTCACATCACGTGATTTATACTACCACTCAGTTTTCCCCTTAAATTTAGCCGAAAAATAACCGTCAAGTGATACCCCAACTCCCTTACCAATTCCACCGTATTATAGGACTTTGAAGGAAAAAGTCGCTGCCAATTGTTTCTTCTTTTTTTTATTATTCTTTCGTGATGTAGGTGTAGGTTCTGCGCGTTGGCCTTGAAAAAGGCAGGATGTTCTGCAGTTGTGTGACGTAGCCGTCCTGTATATAAGGAGGGTGGCTAAATAAAATAATCAGCATATTTAGAGACGCGTTTGTCCGTTCGTTTCTCTATGACTGTAAATCTGGTTTCCTCCTTCTGCCTCAGACCCGGGTAAAATCATTATGATAAATTTCCACCAGTTCGTCCACGCACTGACTGCATTCCAAAATTCGATTTTCACGAGTCTAAGGCGTAGAAGTGAGAATAAAGGGGTTGTTTGGCGATGAATGCTAACCTTCTTCGTTTAATTTCAAGGAGCTTTGCCTGCATCAAAGGGGCCGCCCGACTTGCGTATGGGCCAATGCACAAGCGCGTTGTAAGACATATCCAGAAACTGAATAAATGAATATCTGCGTTTACAGAGAAATGCCAGACATACTGGAACAGATGGAGGCAGAGGGAAGCTGTATTCGCTTTTGGAGATTTGAGCAATAAGCTTCGTTTTCTTAAACAAGACACGAACCTTCCGCGAGTCGTAGACACTTTTTATTAAAACTCGCTGCCCAGTTTGTCATGTTATTTCAGCTCATGTAAAGAGAGGAATCCATTTTATCCGGGTAGCTATTGTCCGGGTTCACGAGTAAAAGCGGTGAGGTTTTTTTCCGGGTCTGTAAAAAATCCTGTGAGCTTTTGTCCGGTGAGCTTCGGTTCGTTGAGCTTTTGTCTGGTAAGCTTCTGTCCGGGATTTACAAATGAAGGTGAGGACGAAATAGAAAGAAACGACAGGACGATTATTGCACCATGGTGTGGCAACAGTTGAAAGAAGGGATTATCCTTCGTTTCATTCTTAGTCGAATCGCAGCCGACGTCATGAGCCATAGGACTTATAAAGCATCATACAAAGCGCAAGGTTAAGACGTTCCTAACACTTTTTTGAGCGTTCTATTATAGACGAAATCAATCAAGCGCTACAAATGCGCTCTGAACGTCCGCTTTAAGCATGTATTTGTGTTTGAATGTGTTCCATTATTTGACTACTCTTACGACGAAGCCAGGGGGTACAGGACATCTGATCGAACGCTTTTTCATGGAACAATTATATATTCCACCAAACGCCGATTCACTGAGCGCCAATTTCAACGAATCGCTTGACGCCGTTTTATTGAATATTACTTTACCGAATTTTAGAGCATTATAGTGTATTTATCAGTCTGCTCTCGCTTGTATGCTGTTTTCATGCTCGTGTTGAATTACCACAAAATAATAATTATAAAAAAACTACCTGCCTGCTTTTTTCACCGAAAGTTTGGTTAGTGAATCATAGAACACTCCAAAGCTTGAGTTTGTATACGAGTACGACTTACTGTTTTCAGGTAAGTTATGCGCCTCTTCCCTACCATACACTTTGTTGCATATTTCCTAAATGGAATATAACTATTTTTTGCCGTGGCTTTCTGTGTTGCGTATGTATCTATTTATTAGCGTTTTCATTATATGCTAGGAGAATATCTTCCTTTTCAAGAACTTACGTTGGAATTACGTTGAAAATTCCGCAGGTCCACGGTTCTGCCAACTACAAAAATAAAAAAAGGGGAGACACGTATTGTTTTCTCTTTCATGCGACAAGGAGACATGGAACTTTTCCAAGGACAGTTTCGCGCTGGGAACAAAATACATCTCTTTAAAAATGAGGTTACGCCCTTGAAGGGACGCACAGAGCACGACACTGTTAGCGCAAACAAGCGATCGCCGGTTTTTCCAGTATTTATCTTTGGAACCAAAGGATGCAATCCAATTTATTATTGCTACAGAAAGAGCTCATTCAGTTCTATGACGTAAGCGATAATATTTCGTGCTCGCTAATACTATTTAGAAGTAAAATGTGAAAATGTGCCTTTGTCGTGTTCGCGCAAACAGAGTCGCGGTGTGTATACCTTCGTCACTGCGCCCGATGGTCGCAGGTTTCACGAGATGTCAAGGCGGTGTTCTCGTTTATTATTAGCCACATTGGCAGCACAATTCATCAGTTGCTATAATACAAGTGGAAATAGAATATGTAGCTGAGAAAATAAAGTTTTTATTATTATTAGTTTTTATATTTGTAGGAAAAAAAAGGTCTGCTTTTCCACTCGCGTTAAGAGAAAACTAATTCGTAGATCAAAACGTCTTACTGCTGAACTGCCGCGTGGCTCAGATGTATTGATAGCGGTTTGAAGGAATCGTAAACATCAGTATATAACTTATCGCGCTGGGATTTACTACGGCGATGCTCGAAGCTGGGCATTAATTAATTGAGGGTATGAGTGCATGACACTTCTGGAATAAAAAGGGTGAAAATAAAAGCTAGTTTTGTATATGGGAAAATTATCACTAAGCCTTTTATCTCGAAATAACCAGAAAATTGTTTAGGTCTATTTCGGGGTTTACTATGATTGAAAAATGTTTGAAAAAAAAAAATATGTAAATGGCTTACCTGTTCTTCACTTTATTTGGACCTAATGAGCGTCACAGCAACACATATTTGTTAGTGTGCATGCAAATATTGGGAAAACATAGTTTTCGATTTTGCTTAATTTGCTAAGGTGCGCCAATATTTACACAATCTTAGCGAAAGCTTGCATCAACTTTAGACACTTCTGTAGTAAATTCTACCGCGATACGTTACGAACCTGATTTAGTTTGTCCCTTCAAATGGCCATCAATCCTTTTGACCCACATGGTAGGTGGTGTTCGACGCAACTCCTTTGATGACACGGCTTCGATGAAATGACGTTCGATGAAATGGCGTGTGTTAAACCAGCTTCGATCGAACGGTATTCGATGAAGCTGCGTTCGATAAAATGTCCGGAGCAAGAATCTAAGTATTAGCGGCGAGATGTTTTTGTGGCGCCCTCCTACGGTTCCCCCTTGTGACGTCATTACCTTGCAAACAACAAGTTCGATGGTGTTTGTAAATAGCATGGCGGAACCTTGAAATCATTGCGCTCTCAAAGGAGCACTGCCAACACCGTCAAAATTAAAGTTCTTTCATTCCTCGTATTTCCGTCGATGATAAATCCTTTTCTGACGTCATAGTCAGCGTTACGCCAATCGTGGAAGCTCCACCACAGCGACGCTTTCGGTCGCGCACGTCGCCAATAGCAGCCGGGTTATTTTTTGCGGTTTCATCTATATCATATGGTTCACTTTTGCTTTGTGGGGAATTTAAGTGGCAGGCAAAGCTATGGCACGTAACGTAAAATAGCCGAAGGCACCTCCCAGTGATTTCACACCTTTAAGTAAAAGTCCAGCGCGTTTACTGTTCTGTTAAGAAAGTGATATGAGTCAATTCAACACCTCCCATGAACACTGAAATTAAAAGAATAAAAAAAGAAATGTGGCATGTGCCTTAATAAGTGCAAACGTTATGCTTATAGATTCTTTCTTCGGCGATTTGCTGGTTTATATGGAGCTATTGTCACGGTAGAGGAACGACAACCCCTTCTCGGGATTCGCGACGCCAGTCACTTTAGGAGTCATTGGGTTGAATTTTCGGCGTTACTTAAAGAAGGCCGACAGAAGCAGTGTCCCGCGTTGGTCTTCTTTAGATTACGTCAGAACTCCTGCACAATAGGCTTTGTTACCTACTAGGTGTTGGCCCGTCACTTTTATTTGTAAGCGTGTACTTACATTCTCGAACAATAGAAAAGTTACCTATCGAGCTCTTGCTCCAGCGCTATTGAACGGTTGAAAGCTGGACAATTATCCAGTTTATTGTGAGAACAAGCAGAATGTTAGCGGCTGTTTTATGTTTGTAAGTTGTCCTAACTTGGTCGGCTAACGATTGCTGAATCAACACTGGGAGTAGTGCTCGGTAAAATAAAATGAAAACAGGTCATCGTCATTTATTCAGTCAACTTAATATCTAACGCCCAGAAATCGACAGCTAAATCTGCAGATCCTGTGGATTCACCCGTGCTTGACTCTTTTTCGCGGAACGCCTCTGTATTGGGCGAAATAAGTGCGGGCTCAGCGAGGGCTGGTTAAGAGGGGGGCGACGACAAAATTTGAACAGCCGATCAAGCCTCGATAATGGTGGAGCTTTCTTCTGATAGATAGCGCTGCAGGCCCCCTAAATGAGGAGCTCGCCAAGCAATTGCAGCGTGGACATTATCTTTTCGCGGGTGGCGTATTGGGAAACTTCTGTCACTGGATGAGCTGAGATCAGTCGAGTTGGACCTCTTTCAGCGTGCGGATGCGCGGATCAATGACCCTCTTGCCGATCGTAGCCGAAAGAGTTAGGGCTCTCTTTGTCTGATGTTCATTTCGCTATTTATAAGTAAATGATGTCACTGAGACGGCTGAGCGTGATTCTTTATGGCTCTCTAGCACGATCAGTTCCATATTGTGTTCAGCGGTAGCCTTGCGTAATACTACAGTTAATTTTCTCCGCTTTATACGCCAACACTTTGTTTTACAAAGAAGCCCACGTCTGCACAGGCAAAAAACTTTAGCGACGTCCAGCGTTTCTTAAATTGGCACTGAAATGGATTTTGAGATCGCCTATTTATGGTTTACTCAATCTAGAGTTCGAGGCATCCTAAAAACAAACAAACAAACGAAATGCCACTCTTGACCGCCGATTTCCCTACTAAAAATCTAATGACAGATCTTGACAAGCCCCTCTTTCTTCGCCTTGGAGAACACGCCAAAAAACTCCATCGGACGGCGTTAGAAAAAATGGCGGTATTACATCTCCTACACCCAAAGTTTTGACGTCTTTGCCAAAATATATTGAACAAGGCGCCTCAAACGAGCACAAATAGTGACTTTCGGAATCTCGACGAAACTAGCCAATTAACTATTTTCATTGGTCAAAGTTTCTGAAGGTGGTGAGGACACGATGACGACCACCTATGTCAGAGACAATAGTGCCCCAGTATTTCTATTGTCGTGACTTTACTAGTACATCTTGCTCTCTAGAACTGATTATTTTTATTGACAAAAGCTCCCAAAAACAACACGCCATCAAAAACGCGTTTCTACAAAAAACACTTGAGCGGCCCTTTAAGCTGCAAGAGACTTTAGTATCTTGCAGCTTAAAGGGTCGCTTAAAGGGTTGCAGCTTGCAGCTGAGACCATCAACATCACAAATGAACAAGTTCGGGCTTTTAGAATGTCTCATCAAATGTGAACTGTTTTGTTGGTACCAAATGTACGTATTATTTCAGGGAGAAATGCCTCTTGGACAGTACGGCATGGTGGCGACTCCGGGAAGAGGACCTTGGATTGTCTTCCACAGATTATGAACTCTAGAGCAAGCCCAACAATATACAACTTTCTCCGTTGCGTCCATACGCCAGAATTAGCTTTTTGGTTGAAGCTACACGCTACGTGATTCTGTTAAGGCCCGTTCACACTCTTGCGACCGAGTAAGACCGAGAGAGACCAGACCGGTTTTTAACCCTCTTGCGACTTCTTAGGACCAGCTTCGCTGCAGCGGATCCGGTCCTAAGAAGTCGCAAAGGGCTCAAAAAGCGGTCTGGTCTCTCTCGGTCTTACTCGGTCCCCAGAGTGTGAACGGGCCTTTAGGTTATGACGCAGCATCAGTAACGCTGAAAAGACCGAGCCACAGATTGGAACCGGACTCGAAAATACCCGCTAGAGCAATCTGTGCACAGGGACAGCCTTGGTGAAGCTCCTGTATTACCTTTTTTATGTTGCGAAAATAAAATTGTTTTTGTGCCGCATTGTGTGATGTTCACAAACACCCAAGTACGTACGCCAAGTGAAAGCACCGCAGCTAACTACGAGGAGACACTAAAATAAAATTGTTTTTGTGCCGCATTGTGGGATGTTCAGAAACACCCAAGTACGTACGCCAAGTGAAAGCACCGCAGCTAACTACGAGTAGACACTTTAGTGATCTTTGGGCTACACTGTAAGAAATGACCGTTAAATGTGCGGCTGTATACGCGTAATAAAAACAGCGATTGAGCCGCAAAAAGGAATTACCAGAATAGACCTTATTCAGATTCGCGCGCCATCTATCGGTCGTGGCGCCAACCTTCCTTCCGACGCCATCTTTGAGGCGATTGGCAAAGCGCCGTGGCCGTTTGCGGCGCGTGAAAGCGACGCGCAGCGACCGCACGACTGCTCTCTTCCGCTATCGTATTCAACGAGGAAATAAAATGAAAAACAACCGATGTAAAGATTCGAATCCTATCGTTTTCTTTTCCAAGTTAAAGGTATTATAGCCATCGTTTTAATAGCCGTAGCGCTTTCCTGCACTATTTATGCTCCTAACAAGAGCCACCCGTGCGTTAGTGTCGTGTGCTTTTACGAGGCTTTTACACCGCTTTTAATATATGACACTTTCCACAATGGCATGAAGGGCTCATGATATTTGCATGTAACAACAGCGAGCATCTATTACTTCATGAGATTTTTTGGGAGCTCGATGTTGGTTAGCATCGTAGCTTCGCTCGCGCAGAGGAACGGCGAGCTCCAGTCAACATCACTCAGATACACTGGTTCGAGATTGTTTTTTTCTTCTTTTTCTTGCTCAAGTAAGTCGTTTACATTCGATTGAAGGCTGATGCAAAGTGTAGAAGAGCTTGGGAACGTAACAACTGCGTTGAACACATGAATGATAAAGATAACGGTGCTAAAAAGCAAAGGTGAACGCCCGCTTACTTTACGCTGTATCATTATTATCACGCGACTCTTATATTTCGAGAAAAATTTTCGAGATGCATACAAAAGCATAGAAGCGGGTTCTTGACTGCTAACCTGGACCTGCTGGCGTGTTTAACAGTCCCGCTTGCTCGCTTCCCAACAAAACAGGTTCGCGCTGCGGGAGAAGCTCTTTTCTTTGTAGCCAATACTGCAAGCAGCCACTTTTATGAACACTGGTCATATTCTATTGCGAGTAAGTATGAAATTTAACTCTATGTAACCCCGCTACCAGGAGAAGCACATTAAAATGTCGCTGACATTTATTAATGCATTTTCTCTCAAGGGGCCAAGGAGTATATATGCGCTAGTACTGAATTTATTTGTAAGTATTATTATTATTATTATTATAAAAGAAAAATGTTCTAATTTTCCGTAAAATCCTTTTCTTTTTTTTTTCTTTTTTTTGTTACGTTATATTCCGCGTACTTGCATTGCCGTGACACGCCGGTCATTTCCTTTTACGCTTTTCTGCCTCGCATACGCCTTGGTGAGCATGCTAGTGTAGACCTTCAGCGTTGTTTTTTTTTTTAATTTTTTACCTGCGATAAAAAATACTACTATCGTAAATTCCTGATGTATCACACGTACTCCTTATAATGATGTTTTGAGCTACCATTCGGTGATTTTCACAAGAAACTAAATAAAGATCGATGTAATATATTTATCTTAATGTCATTTTGTGTGCGTGTGTGTGTGTGTCGAATCATATCTTTAATATTCCTAAGGTTAAGACAACGGGAACCAAAATTTAATGTTCAACGCCGCAATCATAGAATTCTTCACTTCGGGTCTGCACACGCTGGGTCGATGCGCACTGGATGAAGAACTTCTCGCATTATTTACACCCGTAGCCGCAAACGTCAAATAAGAACAAACTGTCACACAGTAGCGGAAGGCTCTGCTAAATATATCATATAAATCGTCTTTGTGCGAACAGGCATAATCGGCTGATCAGGCAACTTAACGCACGATCCTAAAACAAGTGCGTGAGTCGGCCTGCTCTGGTGCTGGAATGAAGCTCAATTTTATAAAAAAAGAAAAAAAAAATCTTAGTGAAACCGTTGAAAACAAACTTGAGCTTAATATTCGCAAGTTATTCTCGACCAACTAACACCATCAATATAAAAAAAAAACGCAGGAACATGCACGAACGTGGAGAGGGGTTCGTACTAGGGCGGGCAGCGGGGAGGCGAAGCCTCAAAGATGGCACCGAACCTCTGATAGTGCCCATGGCCGCCGAGAGATGGCGCTAAAAATGAATAAGGTCTATTGCACCGTGACCGAGCAAAAAGAAGTAAGAAGGAAACGTAAAACTGGGCACGGAGGAAAACAACAGAAAGAAAAGACACGCATCGCTAATTCGTCACCATGCTTGATCTTCGGAAGCAACCACGGGATCTGCGGAACTCAGACAGGCGCCCTCTCGGCCTTTCACGTCCTTTCTTAGCACTTGTTTTCAAGAGGCAACCCCGTGCCAACGCAGACCGTAAATGCCGTTACTGTAAAAAAATCATGAGCCATTCTACTCTATGAAGGTGGATGACCAACGAAGCTGTTTAGCACGCGACACCAACATGACACAGAAATTTGAAGAAAGGTGAGAACTATCGCCGCCCGGAGGAGGAAAGTAGACACGCGCGACGAGACCGCCACCCGGTGGAAAGTAGACACGCGCGACGGGAAGGCCACCCCGGGAGAGCGGACGGAAAGGAAGCTAAGCGCGCAACTGCAAGGAACGGCGACAGAGAGAGGCCGGTGCGAGCGTAGACAAGGCCGACGCGGGTCGCTCAGCGACAAACCTTTGAGAAACCTTTATTATCTACCTGATAATCAGCGCTGTGAAATGTGGTTGGCCACAACTTCGCTGGCCAGCATTCTTCACAGCGTGGATTGGAATCCCTTGTTTCCTTTTTGTTGCAATTCCTGACGTGCGCCGTGGCTTACAATTAAAAGAAAAATAATTATTAGTAGGATTTTTCGTAAGTCTTCGATAAATGACCTGGTGTGTACCGTACGTGTAATTTTAATTCGAACAAATTAAAGAAAAAAGTGGTGAAGATTTGAAGAATTTCCGTTTTCACTAGGCATCCATCGGGCCAGGCGGACATTAGGTGAAGGAATACTTGTCATAGTGTGTTGGTTAATTACCTCGCATGATTGAATTTAAATCTGAGTGATTTGTTTTAAGTGTCAGGCTAAAACTTCAGTATTGACGGCAAATACTATTAGAAGCTATACCGTTTGAAATGATTTACAAAGATCTAGAAAGTTTCGAGATATTAAATGATACGAGTTTTTTCTAGACCAATTTAAATATTGTACGCCAAATGAGCGCCGCAAGTCCTGCAAACATGACGCTTCGAAGAGTGACGTAGCTATGTTAGTGAAGTCGTCACTGTCGTGCCCGCGTTTCCTTGATGGATGCACTGGCGACACAGGTGACGACGTCAGTGAAACAACTCCGTCACTCTTCTAAGCGTCATTGTGGGCAAAGCTGGAACCACTCTTCTTGCGCTCAATTCTTCAATCAATCAATCATTTTATTTTTTCAAGTCAAATACAAATTCGACTTGAACGGACCGTTCAAGTCGAATTTGTATTTGACTTGAAAAAGCTGGCACAAAAGACAAACAAGTTGCCTGACGAGGTGCCAGCGGCCGGTAAGGACTGCAAAATCTAACGGCGAATAAAAAAAAAAAAAAAAGAATCTGCGCATGCAGAAACCTAGAACACAATATCGAAATAACACTCAGACTTCATACAAGGTAAAAAAAAAAAAAATTACATGTGCGTACAAACAACACAAGGAAGTACAATAAATCACACCACCCGCCATTAGACATTGTCAGGGAGTGAGAGAGAAGAAACTCGATTTGGAAATAAGACAGAAAAAAAAGACCTATAATGTACACTATGTAAAAATGAGTATAAGCATGAACTACATAGTGTAAAAATGAGTATAATGCTTGTGTATGGCAAGAATTACCCGATTAAAAAAATACCATATATTGTATGGTCGTCAGTCAAAAGGACAATCTAAAACAGTGACAAATAAAAAATGGTCAGGAAAAAAAATCCTTGCCCATAATTCACCTTTAAAACAATAAGAAAAACATATGCAAGCAAAAGTAAAAAACAATAATACATTTCCATAATACGTAGCTCATGTTTGACCTTCTTGGTCAAACATGAGCTGCGTATCTCACTCTAAAAAACGCGAAACATTTATGAAATGATATCTCCAAACCTGTTACATCTTCGCAAAATATTTTAAATTGTTTTGCCTCTAATAGTAACTGCCGTCCATACTGAAACTGCAGCATTCCCTGTTAAGCCAATAATTGAAAAGTTAATCGACTCATTTGATTTGACTAGCCAACTTACTGCAACGATTATCCCCTCATCCAATATCCGCCGAGCCTGATAAACACATGGTAAAAACGATATTAATCTAATTTTTACCCACTTAAAAACAAACAAAAACAGTTTAAATTGCGAATAGACGCCCTCTATAACTTCGCAAAAGTTGCAAACATAGGAACCGGGTACATAAACTTCAGAGCACACTATACGGCGTGCAAGTTCATCTGCTTCTTGTTCGCCTCGTGCGTTTGTTCACTCGATAAATGCGCCCACGTGGTTTTCGTTCCCACCGGCC